AGCATTCAGGTCCTGTGACCATGGTGCGTTCTATAAAAGTTGATGCACTCGAATGATTATGGATAGTTCCGAGGTAACAACGGCTCGTCTGGCGCAATTTTCACGGGACATTATCCCCTTGCCATCATCGTGGTATACGAGTACACATGTATATCTCATCAAAAAAGAGGTTATATATTAAAGCTGATAAACTAAAATGATTTCATCGTTGCTGTAGTGGTAGAGATGTATGTCTAAAAATCAACGGGTCGTGGGTTCCCCATTCGTTTCAGCATTTTTCTAATCAAGTTATAACTTTACTGAAACATGACAGACTTCATCTGGACATTAAATGGATGGTCAGGAACCAACGCAATGAAGAACCTGTCAAGTTCCATCGCGTTTCGGTTTATCTATTTTCTCAAAAGTAAAGATTTTACGTACGTAACGAAAGTCTTTTAAATTTATGAAGTTTTTTAGTTGTATTACTAAGATATTATGTTAATATTTGCTTGTTCTTTTATTTTTTATTTTAAGATAATAAAAATCCGTATATGAAGATATATTAGCCCTTCTGCTGGCATATTATATTATCGATGTTAATGTATGATGCTTCAGCTAACCAGTCGATGTAGGTTAACAAAATGTGTTAGCGTTTATTAAATAGAGTGCTAGCGTTTCCCAGCCAATTTAAATATCTCTTATTCCATTCAAGTTTGAGGGCTATTAAGTATAATTTTACAAGGGAGTTTATTCAAAGTTTTAACTTCTGCCACAGCTCACGATATACAAAGGGGACTGAGCGGAACGAGTACTAAAGCAATGAATTTTAAATGGGTATCTCAACATTAACTTTAAATATATCTTTTATCGTATAATAACCTACCTATTGCCCTATAAGCGAAGGGCAACTGAGATTCAATGCAAGGAATTGTTCTTAGTTAATAAGATCTTTAACGGTTTAGAACGAGAAATACTTTAGTTGTTTAACGTTGGTGTGACCTGTATAGCAACGTCAGGTGTAAAATTAAAATCGTTAAAAGTTTAGTATGTAAATATAGGATTTGTTCTGTTTTTGATTGGCAGTCTCGTTATTTAACAAATTGTTTTTAATTAGTAACGTGAGACGTAATGAAACAAAAGAGTAGCACCGCTGCAATGTTATTTTTCTGTTATAATATAACACTGTAAATTTTGAATAAATTAAGAAAAATCTTATTAATTTCAAAATAGATAATTTAACAATTAGTATCTAACATTCGACTTAAACATATTACTTTTTAATATTTGCCTGCATATTGCATTAGCATGCAGATCCAAGAAGAAAAATATTTTCAATATTATTTAAAACCTACGCGTCAATCACGCCGTATAAGCACTAAATGGTTTTTATATAAAGGTAAGTACAATATAATGGCGCTTAAAAACCATTGACCCGTATAGCCTAGCAATAAAAAGGGTTGACTGCCTCGCTTGTCGGTCTGATTTTATCAGAATCTAAGTCATTGAAAAATGCCATGTTCAGACTGTCATGCACGTGCTGTTATTTATTTGCACCACTCTTTGAATTAGTAGCAGCTACAGAAAAGGCTGAGAATTCTATTATTAAATACGAGTTATTAATCTATGGTAGAAAAATCCGAAACTCGAGAATCGAGAAATTCGAAAAAAAATCCAAACTTGGAACTAATCCTGAATTTGATCCTAAACAAGGCACAGAAGTACAGAAAGTTTGTCTAGAATCCAAATAAAGATTTTTTGTAATATTTTATGGCCATTGTAACAATTTCTTGAATTTAAAAAAAAAATCGAATTAACTATTTATCGTCTGTGGAAATATATTATATATTTAGTATATACACCATATTACTTAACACTAGATGTAAAAAGAACTAATCTATACTAATACTAGCTGACCCGGCAAACGTTATTTTGCCATATAAATAATTTATAACTAATTAAATGACGATTGATAATTTTCGACCGGAGAGGAAAAATTATTCAATTACTAAAATGGCTATTAACAAATAAGGGTTGATCGTAGAAGGGTGAAAATTGAGGATTGTATGTATTTTTCATATTTATATTTCATTTTCATATTTATTTTTCATAAAAAGATAGCAATCAAAAATTTTGTCTAAAAATTAAAAATTTGGGGTGGACTAAAACTTAGGGGGATGAAAAATAGATGTTGGCCGATTCTCATAGATACCAGATAAGCACAAGATGTTTCATCAAAATCGGTCAAGCCGTTTCGGAGGAGTATGGCAACGAAAACTGTGACACGAGAATTTTATATATTAAATATAAAGCTAAAGAGTTTGTTTGTTTGTTTGAACGCGTTAATCTCAGGAACTACGGGTTCGAATTGAAAAATTCACTTGTGTTGGTTAGATCATTTATCGAGGAGGGCTATTATAGGCTATAAAATATCACGCTGTGACTAATAGAAGCGAAGATACAGCGAGAAAAGTGAACAAAACGGGAAACATTATTCATCTCTGTAGGTTTCAGATGCGTACGCTGCGAAAACGGTTCAAGATAACTAAAAAATGTTTTTGAAAGAATTATTTCTCTTTAAATTATCTAAAAAAAAGTCTACGACGCTATATGTCTATCTTTTAAGATTAGCTTGCAAGAACGACGGGAAGGGACGCGATCGACGTCGTAGCTAACAGATTAAGTTTATAAAGATGACGGGGTTTGCAAAAACTAATTTGGATGCTCAATATAACGATTCTCGCGGACGAAGTCGCTGGCATAGCTAGTTCTATATATCTATACTCGGTAACTAGTTTAATGTTGGTTTGCTGTTTAAGACAGAACCACTTACAATACCATAGATCCACGAGCGAATATGTTTAATATTTCAGCTTTTTTTTATTTAAAGGTTTAACATAATTTACAGACAAACAATTGTAGCTTAAATTTAAAAAGTGCAACGAGCGATTTTATGGCGTCTTATTCTCTCTCAGACAACCCAAAAACAAAGGAAACTAATACATGAAAAGAAGAGAATAAACGTGAACTTTTTAAATACTTGAAATTATGTAGAATTAACAAGTATATTAACAAATGTACAGCGTAATTAAAAGTGAAAGTAGAGATTTATTGTAAGTAGATTTGTAAAATTGAAAAGTATATTATATAACATGGCCATTTGTAAGGCGAACAGATGTCGGCATTACAGTCGAAGTGGAAAAAGTGCGACGGGCAAAACTGCCATTACTCTCCTGGTAGGCACTTCTCAGGATTCTGGTATTGCATAATTAGAACTTAGTTATGAGCGGAGTATAACGTTTGCAGCTATTATGATAATTATTTTATAATCTGTAATGCTGAGATTACCGGGCGCTTATTATAGGTTACATTTACATAAATCTGTCTGCTAATGATGGTATGTCCTTTGTGCCCCCAGAAGACAACGGTTCGTGATGATTTAAATGAAAAAAAACAATCTAAAGTCTGAGATTTTTCTATATTTATATGTATTTGAGAGACAAAATATAACTTGAAATTGTGAATAATCGAATGAATACGTTGTCGACTTATTTTGGCTTTGGACATTCGGAACGTCGTGCGACAAAGCTTTCTACAATGCCTCCGTTTTCAGAAGCTGCACATTATCTGTCGCCCCGATATACCCAGTTGAAATAAGTAGAAACCTAAACTTTATAACCCAAGGTCTCGCGGAGAAACTAGAACATTGTGCTAAACATACAGCTGGTCTCATTAAAAGACTTTTACTACACAACAAAGGGTAATGTTTTAAGAATGAAATGTGGTACAAAAATCATAATTAACATTTTAGCTTGTTATCTAATACTAGGTAATATATTCTACTTGGTTATGACTAATATTTTCCGTATTAAGTAATTTTTAAACCGGCAAAACATCGTTTTCCTCTCAAAATCTCTCAATTACATACTTGTTTTAATTGGTTCAAATGAGTGCGAAAATAGGCCGACATCAATGAGAAACGTTTAATATATTACTGAGCTAAATAATATTTGCAAAAACATGTAGGTAATAGTTGAAAGCCTTAACTCTTTTTTAATAACGTGTAATTTAATATTAAAAGAAATATCTTAAACCACTTAAAGTTAAATAACTCTTGAATAAATCAATCAATTCAATAGCTTGTAATTATTTACTTTAATATTAACAATTACGAAGTAACTTAATAGGAAACTTAAATTTATATTATATTTAAAAGTAAAAGGACATAAAACAATTTGTTTACGTCTAATTTATTTATATAACACATGAAAATGACAGACATTATAATAATTGAAAACACCGAACGAATAACAATATTTGTATAATGTTTACTCTCCTGAAATCCGGACTAGGGGGAGGCGTTCACGCCAGTTCTGTCTGTAAATGGGTCAGAGGCTATTCAGGTCCCCCCTAGAGCCTCCCCATATTATGTGTTCCCCTTGCATAATTGAACATGCGGCAAATTATTGTCATTCTGTTGAAACCTACAGATGCAGCAGTCGAATTCTATTGCCTTGTTCTCAAAGCCAAATGGATTACATTATGCACGTAGCTATCATATTATACCAGTCTTGTCGTGTGTCATTTGAATAATGATCTCATAAAATGTGTTTTAAGGAAGCTTACTTTATTGACCAAGATTCAAATCTAACTCAGAGCTTGACTCGAAATCCTATGAGTCTCTCGTGAAACACAGAAAGCGGAGAAGCGATTGGAGGTTTTTTTATCTGTCTATCTATTTTAAATTTCAAACCTAACTCCCTATTATAATGTACACAACATATTCCAAATAAATTTAAGACACAATCCTAAAGCCTATGGATGGATCAAAAAGGATGAAGAAACCTTTAACTAATATATCGCAATTTAAACCGTTAAAGTGTTTTATTTAAATGTGTACTACTCGCGTAAACTATAGACAGTACCTAATAGTGTTAAACATATATTTTTTTATTGACTTGTCACCTACGTACTTACGAGCGAACTTTCAAAGCTTAATTCTATGTTTCTCTCTATTTCAGGCGGCCGTACCGGAAGGTATGACGTTTCCTGGATCTATCCCAGACGTGGCAGAGAGATGCGGTCGCTGGGCACCGGATTCACTGTCAGCTTCGGCGTCGGGCAGCTCTGACGAAAAGCCAACGCCGCGGCGGCCTCGTTGGAAAATCGCCCTCGCCGGGCTCGTCGTATTGGCCGGTCTCGGCGCTGCGTTGGCCCTGCCTCTGATCCTAGGCAGCGGGGGTCGCGCTACATCCGAACAGCGGCTCACCACTGTAAGGAGGATGTTACGTGATTTCCCACTCGTCGATGGCCACAATGATTTGGCTTGGAACGTTAGAAAATTCTTACATAATAAAATAGGAGATTTTAATTTAAGTGCTGGTTTGGAAGGTCTCGAACCGTGGGCTCGTTCGCGCTGGTCGCACACTGATATTCCACGGCTTCGACTAGGTCAGGTCGGCGCTCAGTTTTGGTCCGCTTATGTGCCGTGTGGAGCGAGAGACAAGGACGCCGTACAACTGGCATTAGAGCAGATGGACGTCATAAAGAGAATAGTTGATATGAATGCCGCTCATCTGGCGTTAGTAACGGATGCTTCAGAATTATTGGAAGCGCATCGAGATGGGCGAATCGCGTCACTTATAGGCGTTGAAGGAGGCCACGCTCTTGGAGATTCACTTGCAGTACTGCGTGCTTTTTATCAGCTGGGTGCTCGATATCTTACCGTAACACATACATGTGACAATCGATGGGCAAGAGCCGCCGGTACATCCGGTGGACTCACAGAGTTTGGCCGCGCCGTAGTCCGCGAAATGAATCGTCTAGGCATGATAGTAGACTTATCGCACGCTGGTGAAGAGACCGCCCGTGATGCTCTAGAAACAACGCAAGCCCCTGTCGTTTTCTCTCACTCTGGAGCAGCTGCAATATGTAACTCTTCTCGCAATGTACCTGATGACCTTTTACGAATGATCGCTGCGAACGGTGGTGTTGTTATGATTAATTTTTATGCAAAACTGGTCACGTGCGGAGAGCGAGCCACAGTAGAGGATGTAGTAGCTCACATTAACCACGTTCGTCAAGTAGCCGGCGTCGAACACGTCGGATTGGGCGCAGGTTACGATGGCATCGATGCTCCCCCCGAAGGACTGGAAGACGTCTCAAGATATCCGCATTTATTAGCTGAGCTGTTGCGAGACCCGGATTGGAGCGAGGAGGACGTTCGTAAACTGGCGGGAATGAATGTTGTCCGAGTGTTGCAAGATGTAGAACGGGTGCGCGATCAATGGCGCCGTGCTGCGGTGTTGCCGGGCGAAGAATCTGCTGGCGTGCGATCCGGTGACTGCGTTTATAGGCCCGCGTGACGCAGGCTCCGAGCCGCGCGACGCGGCCATCCTCGTACTGCTCAATATTGACATTTGTTGAATGTAGTTATATAATATGTATATTAGTGTCCAAATGTGATTTAGCGAATAAAGTAATCTTTACCTGACCTCGATGCACAAATTGTTTAGCTAAGAAACCGTAGGTATGCGCTGGGCGCTTCGTCTCGGTGTCGGCACGCGGTCCGATCGCTAAATCTCCTCCATCCATGCACACGACTTCGTCGACGAAAGCCCACTGCGACTCGGATTTATAAGACGTGAGCCAATGAAGATATAAAGAAATAAAAGTGTTTATAGAAAAAATAAATATTCTTTATTTATAATTCTGTCTTTTTGTTACTATCATTCCCATAGATAACGTACGAATATCAAAGTAAGTTATCAAAGTACCCCCCTTACTGGCCAAAGCCGCAATGTAGAGAAATAAAAGCTAGGTATGGTGTAAGATGTGTGTAGTTCGATTTATAATGTAAGGGGGTCTAAAGAAACTAAGTCAGGCTAACAAAACGTAAGCTTGATTAGTGAGTATTGAAGTAATGGGAAAGCCATCAAATTAAGAAGAAGAAGAGTATTAAAGTAATATAATAGAACTGAAACTGATCCATTGATATAAAATTTGTTTCATTTAAAAAATATTAAGTCTTGCATCTATCTGGTGTAATTAAAACTGCATATAGGATATTTTGAAAGAATATATAAAGAAGAAAATAAAAAAATACATGATGATTCTCTTCTTACTGATTTGTGCAATGCAAGCAAACCTTCAACAAGTTAAATAATGCATATTTCTAGAAGAAAAACATCCATAGTATATTTATGTAAGAATCGGAACCACCTTGCTTTTTTAAATTTTAACAAAGGAATTCAGACTATCGATGGTTATTGTTCAACATGTTTAAAGTAGATTAATAAAGGAAATTAAAGTCTGAGGTGGTACAAATGTATATGTGTAGTCTGAGGTAGGTATATAACATAAATTAAGAAAAACCTTTTTAATTTTGTCCAATAATCAAAGTATCCTACGTTATCTGTGGTCAAAATAAGGTAGCCTAAATATTGTAATCTGTGTTCAAAATCAAAACTAAAAATTACATCTGTGGAAGTTACCATCAAAACATATATTGACATGTATTTCGTGTCTTTTCTGGTTTCTCATTTTCCTTATGATTCTTGAACTCTTTTTTAGTAACTAATTTCTTGATCACTAATTTTATTATTTAACAAGGGTTCCTGTGTTTCTTTGGTATACTTCATAATTTATTGTTGATGGATTCATGCAATAAATATAATTTCCTATTCAAAAAGTTTGGCCTTATAATTTATTAAAAGTGGTAAGTATATCTAATTATTTTTTTAAATAATCAAAGCATATTCCACCTACTGTTCCTAACATTAGCATGTTGTCCTAAGATTCCTTGTTTGTTTTGCATGCAGCTTTAATGAACAAGAGATGGATTCTAAAGGTTTGTTTTATATTTTAGGTGTCAATTGTTGGTTTAGCTGTAAATAGCGTTATGTGCCCCTATACATATAACTGTAGAGCTTGTCAGTTGGACCATGTTGTTTGTCTCATTACATGATTGTGTTTGAGCTATTTTGTATCTATACATATTTACAACATTCATATTGATAGAAATAATTAATATTCACTGTAATATTTGTAATTTATATTTAGGCTATAACAGTTATAGTTATAGTATCCCCATTTATTTATGCAATTTAACATATTGGAGACTAAGATCTTAGACAAGTTTCAAATTCTTCAGATACATTTAATGAAACTGTTTCAACAATATTGGAACGTAAAGTACGTGGTTGGCTTAGTGGTGTGATTGACGACATGCGTCGCAGTAGTCCTGTCCAGCAATGGCTTGATTCTTTACCTAATGATGACAACACACAATTGGAAACCAATATTGATAATACATTAATTGATAACAAAAGTGATGGTGACCCAGAAAGTGAAAACAAAGCAGAGGAAACAATCACAGATAATACAGTTATTGAAACTCATAATGACATACAAGAAGACAGAAGTTTGGAAGTGCCAGTGCAAAAAGAATGGAAAAGAAACTCCTTAGAGGGTGGTGTACTTAATGCTCAACCAAAAATTACTAATTTGAAACTACATAGAGAACGTTCAATACAGTCTGAAGGTTGTTCACCGAGAATGAAAAATCCATTGCTTAGAGATCATTCCCTGCAGGTACACAATATAAATACAACTAATTTATGACCATGAAGCCTATATTACTCTTCTTACGAACAACACATGTAACATAGTATATACTTTGTTCCAGTCTGATGCAAGTGGCTCCAGTGGCAGTTCAGTCCTAAATGTTTTGGGGGCGAGAAAAGTTGATGCAGAATCTGTACTGTTAGCCTTGGGTTTTGGACCTAGTGAAAAACAACAAAAGTTACAGAGAATACCAGATAGATTTTTAGTTCCATCAAAGGTAAGATTTAATAGCCTTTTTACCTACTTTACTCTATTGAGAAGTATAGTTTAGTCTAAGTGACCAAGCATTTATAATTGTCATAGAAACTTTTAGTTTAGTCTTTTTATATAGAGTAAAGAGAGAAGACTCCAAAATCTTAATAGATGCTATAATAAATCATTGGCAGACAATGTTGTTGTTGGTGGGTTTGAGCCATGCGTTTTATCTTAATGATTTCAGTTACGTTTTCTCTGTGAACGAGACAGGAGTTTTTACAATACATTGTTTTATACAAGATAGTATTTTTAATTTCAGCTCAAAGGTATCAGCACAGAGCAGTTTATAAAAAATGAACATCACTCCATGAAAATGCATGATTGCGGAGTTTTTGGATACAGGGGTCTGACAGGTATGTCTGGGATACAACACAGAAAAATTAACAATTTGATTAACACTGAAATCGTTGCCTAACAATTTATTAACATCACTGCTTTAAATTAACTCTTACATAGGATAAAAACTAATTATGAAGGTTTATATCAGGTGGCTGCCTTAAGTTTCCATCATCTTAACTTTATCTATGCTAATTCATACTAATACTAACAGACCATTGCACACCGGTGTGTCGTTTCATGAAACCAGTAGCCACAAACTATCATGGACCATACCAAGTACCTCAGATAGCCGTTCAGTAAGTATTATTATGCTTGATATTTTTATATTATACTTGAAAGCTTTACTAACATTTTTAAGCCATACTTTTTGTGACCTAAATACACGGAAGATTATACCTATTAGTAAACTGTAAGCTAAGAATTAATTGATATGCTCTACACTTAAATATTTCTGGACCTCCTTAAAGTCACTTATATGTCTATTTAAAGTTTATTTTGTTATTGTATCTATTTTTGAAGTTACATTTTCCTTATCTGACTCATAGGCTTAAGTATATATAGAAACTCATCGCTGTACTATGTATGTACTTAAGATTTAACGTCTCTTATACGAGTAGTATAATATTGGGATAAAGCTATAAGTTACGTTGCATGACTTCAGTTGTCAAGAAAAATCGATTTCTTAGGTAAATGAATGATGAGAAATAATGTTATTTTTATCAGAATTTTAAAAAACCTGCGTCCAGAAAATGGATTTAATGCATAGTGACGGCCTTAAGGAAATAAATAAATCCGCAGAAACTTCTAGAAACATTGACAGCTACAGCCTACCAGAATTTATAAAAAAAATCTATAGAAATGCAATCTTTTGCATTGATAATAAGATAATAATGATGATTTAGACGACTAATATCTCTGAGTTTTGATAATTGCGGTATATATTGTAAGGGTAATCAAAATTTCAGGGAATCCTCATGTTCCACCGTCGACAATTGTAGCTAAGATAATCGACTGTCTATTGCAAGACGAAATGTGCCGCGAAGAAGCTTTAACGAGGACGAGACATTCTATTGCCGATATGCGCAGCGCGCCGGCCATCCACGCCCATTTAGCGGCACGGCTACACAGTGCGTGAGTGGTGGATTATTGGACTTGGTCCCTAAACTCCTAATCGCGTTCCGTTTTAGTCTATAAATTTCCGAATATCAAAGCCAAAATAGATCGACGGCGCATCTTGTTTCGATGCTTTCTAGGCTGGGGTATATCACCCATGCCATGTCTATCGTCCTATATAATAAAAATAAAAAAAACTAATTTTAACGGCCCACTATTCTGAACAGCACCCAAGACGTAAGCGTAGTTGTGTTCTCCAAATTAATAGTTCTATTCAAATATCTTGTCTAATGTAGGATGATAACTTTCATGTTTCACTCCTTAATGTTGCATTTTTTTCAGTAAAGTGCAGTCGACATTATAATTTTAGTGTCTTGAAACATATAATATTTGGTATTGAGAAATATAAAAGTTATGATAAAGGCTGAAATGTATATTTCACTAGCATAATTTTCTAAAAACATTTTGGTTAAACTTATCTATCGATTCCAGTCTATTAAACGATAGATCATAAATAATAACCCACTATATTTACGTTAGACAACGTACTACACCATCTCCATTGGACTAGGTCAGAATTATTATCCTAGATTAGGCAGAGAATCCTCGTAAATAACTTTACGATTTCATCACAATTAAAAGAGGGAACTATATTACTGGGACTGCAACAGTGAAAAGCGCGCGAGATTTTCGGTTCGAATCCCAAGGAAGCATAAGTAATCGTTTTTTCATGTTTCCATGTAGAGATATTGAAATTTAACTTTTTTTTGCATCAGTGTTGATCACTAGGATGAGCACATCAAATACACAAAAGTAAGTTTCTATTCCCTAAAAATGTCTAAATAGTTATAGATTTTGTGTAGCATTTTAATAATTCATAGATCGTGATTTCCATTAAACAATATGATGGACGCCGATGGCTTAGTGCTTATAATCAATCAAAAAGGATAAGAAATCTACTTTTTAAATTATATATCTTTCTGACTAATTTTAATATCTTAATTAGTATTTTAGGACACTTTTAAATCGCAATTATATTTAATAATTTCACAACGTGCACAATGTTTTACAAACACTTTTATTATTTTATAGGCAATATAGTTAAGTATAAAATTCATCGTCAAGGACATACGTAAATAGTGTTTTATTATTTATTAACATTTCAGAATTGCTCATTAGTTTTTACTTATTACAGACGTACTATGTACTTAAGATGTAATCTTGCACGTTTTAGAGGATTTAAAACATAAAACAAAATGGCGCCGCAAACTGTTTCAATCCAAACACAAAGTATGTAGTAACAATTATTGTTATCAAATTATATGCCGAATTGCCTTTAACTTGTGATGTGATTATTTCCCTGAGTAGTAAAAGGAAATCATTAAAATATATTATTTACCTCTTAAGATTATATAAATAATTCTAAAAACTTTTGTCTCTCATTGTGGAAATTCATGAATAGTACTTAATAAATCTAAAATGGCGCACAAGAGTCCTTTAATCATTTTGTGTTAACAGTATGATATAATTTATTTCGTATTTGAAGTATGTTTAAAAAATTTTTTGTTACTTTATTTAAAATAAATATTAAATATTACACTGCGATGCGAACATTTGAATAAATATTATGTACAGTTTTTTTTATATGATATTTTATCTAAATGTGCCAATTATAAGTACTTAGTGCTCAAATTTATCGTAATCCAGAGACATTAGAATTGAAATGTATTCGTCTTTAGTTTAGATGTAAGTACGTACAATATATTGTTTTTAATTAAGACTTATCTTAAAACATCTAACTTAAGCATAATACATATATAAATGATTATTTGGTTGTGTTTTCATACTATAACGAATAGTTCATTTAAGTTTATAATTTTTTACACACACTTTTATTTTTTTGTTTTAATTGTATTTCTAGTACTTAATTGTTTATAATAAAAGTTTTATTTGTAATTCTTGATGTTGAAATAATAATTTTAAAGGGAATTTATCTGAACGTTTAATGATTTGTGACACAATATTATGTGCCTTAAATAACAAATCTCTGTGGTTACAATGGGAAGAGTGGTATGATCTGACTTAATTCTATTTTTATGACTATGTCTTGGTAGTTCCAAATAATTGCTCATGTTATATTATCTTACGAAAATTGTTGAGTTTGGTTTTAGCAATATATAAAAGAATGTTATTTATCAAATATTATATTGCGAAAATTCGTTTTCAAAAATAAAAATAAAATGTCAATATTATATTGTTTTATTTTATAAAAACTTAAATTTAATAAAATGTTAGTTTATTGAACCAGCCACCAAACATCTCTTTTCGAATGCAATACTTTCGAAATTCATCAAAAATAAACATTAAGGCGGCAAACGGAATAGCCAGAAACCACCTGTAAACAAAAAAATGTGCCCACGCGAATAAAAACATTTCAGTCACCTTCGTAGTTGAATGTAAAAGGACATGGTATTCTGGGTTCGAATTCTGGAAAAATGGAGGATTAACGTAGTAAATGAAACCGATTAGTGAAAAGGAATCATAAGAGTATCTGCTCATAAGGGAATCGGAAGGTACATAATTCCCAGGAGTCTTTACTTAGCACTATTAAACAAAACACAATAGATAGGTACCATTTTAGCTTTAGGGGATAGGTTCGGAAAAAGCTATTCATTCCTGGAACATAACACACGATGCACGCAAGAACCAGCTCGAAAATTAAACCGAAGTTCAGGGCTTTATTTCTCATACCTAAAATTATTTCATCTATTACAAAAAATAGGTATAGTAGGTAGCTATGTAGTTTTTAAGCAGGTGTAATACGCTTATTAATTCAAATGTATTATTCTTTCTTACCAACATGAAATAACGAATTATATCTTGTCTTGCAAATAATGCCATTTGTCATTTGTGTTATGACAATGGCTACAAAATACGCGGCCTGGCAAGCTCGCTCCAAATGTTTACGTTCCGCATAAGTCCATTCTTGCCCTAAGGAATCTTGGACATCGCTTACCGCTTCGTTATCCCATCTTTGCCGAATACCTTTGAAAAAAAATCTTTACTAATATATTGAAGCTGAAGAGTTTGTTTTATTGCGCTATTCACCGTAACTACAAATTCGAATCGTTTTTTTTTTGTGTTAGTTGGACGATTTATCGAAGAAGACTTATGGTTAACAAACAGACTGCGAAGAAACAAAGGGAAATGTGGGAAAAATACAAGGAAAATTAGTTTAAAAGATTGATTCTTTTTTAAATTAATTAGAAAAATTACAACGACACTATATATTTAAATAAAACACTTTAACGGTTTAAAATGCGATATATTAGTTGAAAATGATTTTTAACTTTTTTAACCGGGTCTCCCCGTGACCACGCCTGCTGCAAAGCATCCGAAACGTCGGGCCGAAGTTAAAAATCATTTTCAAATAAGTTTAACTAATATATCGCGTTTTAAACCGTTAAAGTGTTTTATTTAAATGTGTACTACTCGCGTAAACTATAGACAGTATTTGACACTATATATCTTTTGATTTATGATTACCTCACAAAATCATTTTTATGGAAAACAAATTTCGTTAAAAAACTTCGTATAGCAAAACGTTGGCCAGGGCAGCTAGTTAATTATAAGAAGATCAGAGATTTGGTGAAGACGCCATTGTCCACAGTGCAGGAAAACATATCACATTACCGAATAATTGATCCGGGTAGAAACCATGTTCAGCCATTACAATGAAATATGCGAACATGCCAGCTGCGAACTCAATAAGTCCTAGATGTCCATACACCAATCTTATCATGGGGCAGGACACGAGAGGATCTGATTTTCTCGGAGGCCGACCCATCACATCCTGTTCTGCTTCCTCGTGGGCTAATGATACAGCTGGCCACATGTCCGTGCCAAGATCCACGCATAAGATTGTCATCACTCCTTAAATTGGAAATTAATTAACAGTAATTACATTCTTCTAAGTCAAACATTATAATATCTACAGTGTGTTACCTAGAGGTAAAGGTATGGAAAATAGAATAAACATCAGAACCGGAATAATCTCGGGCACATTTGATATGAGGATGTAACACACAGATTTTTTCAGATTATCAAATATCTTGCGCCCTTCCTCAATTCCTGTGACTATTGTTGCGAAGTTGTCGTCCATTAATATTATGTCGGCCGTTTGCTTGGACACCTGGTATCATATTTTATTAAATTTCTTTCAGTTTTAGTTAACCGTGGTTGAATTGATGTCTGACTGTACACCCAAATGTAGATCGTGATTTTTGATAGGAATCAATCATCAGAGATGATACAGATTAGACACAGCCTACGCTTGAAAAGTAGGCACTTTTAAAGAACCGATAGTTACAAACTATATAACACTAAACTAAATCTTAACCTGGACAACGACCCGTCGTTTCGGGTCCTTTTCATAAGCCTTGATCACGGAACGCCTGAATGTCATTTAAAAATAAATCTTATTTCAACTCGCTAAGACATAATATATTATATTTATTACACGTTGACTGTCTATAATATTCTACGCCAATATTAACAAACACATTTAAATACAACAACCTCGGTCACGGGGGACGGCTGCTGCAAAGCGGAGTTAAAATAAATAGTAAATAAGTTAACTAGTGTATTTAGCGTTTTGAACTCTTGGACGTTTTATTAAAATACTTGTTTTTAATTCCATGTAAGGTTTTAACTTTTCTAATGCACCTGAGATCCTGTTATTCCCATGGATATGCCAATATCGGCCCTCCGAAGCGCCGGGGCATCGTTGACACCGTCTCCTGTAACCGCCACCACGCTACCTTGTCTTTGGCACGCTTCAACGATTTGGAGCTTTTGAGTTGGTGACGTACGAGCGAACACTAATAACAATTATGTGATCTTCATTTTTCCTATCTATAAAGACTACAAGCTATATTACGTACTACGCAGTTCAATAAGTGAAAATATAATATATAAGTGAAAGTGAAAATGTCCGAGATATATAAAAATATATAGATAAATGCTATTGCACTGCTTTTCAAAGGAAACTTTTCAAAAATAATGTACGTCCTGATCTCCGTAAATCAACACTGTATAGCAGCAATAATTCAGCCATCGTCACCCTTGAAGTCAAATTTATTCCTAATCCGTAGAATGATATAAAAATGTCTAGGATCGGTGGAAGCTTCAGGCTAGCACCTTCAATTGCCTACCTATTTTCCTTCTTACTATATTCATTCCCACTACTTATTGAACACGTTCGTCTTAGTTTTTACTTTTATTCAATTTTTCTTTAGTAGACTGACAACCCGGCTTACGATACTACAAACATATTCTACCGTAAGACCTATATTACAGTATCTATTGTGCAAACCTTTATATTAAAAAAAATAACCCTTCTAATATGGAAAACTTAATAATATTGTTTTAACCATTATGTAATAAACTTTTCCAAAGCCCCAATAGATCAACAGGGCATCTTAAAATTCGATAGTATTGAATTTCCTTTTTTTAAATAACTTTTATAGAGAAGTAAGTTCGTATCTATTGTGTATTTTGACGCACCTATTTCGTAGTTCTTTTCTAGGGTTAAAAATAGTAACTCTGGTGTCATGTTTCGTAACTCAGTGCCAGTTACTACATGGCAGCTAGGCGTTGTTCCTATTCCCACTTCTGATGCTACAGCGCGAGCCGTGGCGGGGTGGTCTCCGGTTACCATCATGACACGCACTCCTGCCGCACGGACACGTTGGATAGCTGAACGCACCTAAAAGATCTCTCGTTAAAGGCTGGTTTGAATTTAAATAAAGCTTAATTATTACAACCATTATATACTATTATTATAAAGATGAAAAGTTTGTTTGAACGCGCTATTCTTAGGAGCTACTGGTTCGAATTGAAAATTTATTTTTGTGTTTGGTAAAGCACGGAGGAAGGGTTTAGGTTATAATACATCAACCTTTTTCCAATAAATCTCAAACTCATCTGTAAGGACTTCCATTGCGTGCGCTGCGAAAACGGTACAAGAAACCAAAAAATGTGTATCAAGAATTGATATTGATTATTTACTATACTAGTAAATGATCGAAAATAATCCGTAATAGTGTATATACTACCTTTCCTATGCTGCTACGTTTTATAATTATCTAACGCCCAAGAAATATTTTATAGTAATCGAATTCGGGCAAATATATGCATAATTACTAATTATTTGTTAGTTGTATCAGCATAAACATATGAATCTTGCAAACAACAAAACGTCTGTCGGATCAGATAGTTATAAATAATTTTCTCTTCCGGCACATGTAGCACAAAACTGTACCCAAGTTCCACAAAGGAACCATACGTACCTCTTCTCGTGGAGGATCGATAAGTCCCAGCAATCCCAAGAAACGTACGTTTTCGACAGGGAAGTTTATTTCCTCTGAATCAAACTCGAACCCTTGTGGATAATTAGTTTCATTCAAATCTAGATCGGCGAATGCTAAAATTCTTTCTCCTGTAAGATACGGCTGATACAGGCACATATTAAGACGATTTTATATTATAAGATACGTTAGTTACCAGTATTAGCCATCGTTTCTATAGCTGTATTAATAAATTCCTTCACTTCGTTGTCGATATTAATATCTCTATTACTTAGAGCGATAGTCGAGCTTCGTGCTAAAATAACTTCGGGCGCTCCCTTTATAACTAATAAGTGCTTTAATGTTTGCTGATTTAAATGGATGCTAACCTAAAATTAAAATTTAACTGCATTTAGAACAATTATAATCCGTTAGAAGTTATTGAAGCATGACAGAATAACTACTCGTATTTCTAAGAAATATCTAGGGAGATAGAGAGACCTTTAAAACTGCTAAAAATAGGGCGATATTTTTTTATTATTTACACACTGTATTGATCAAAAAATGCACAAGAATATAAACGATACTTATGTACTGAAAATATGGAATGAAATGGGCGGCCTTATCGCTAACGAGCGATCTCTTCTAAGCAACCCAAAATTTTATTATCAAATAACATTGTTTCTGAGAAAGTATTCATGGATTATCATACGACTACGAACTAAATGCACAATTTAGCAAGGCTTGTATTTTACATTACATTGTACACTTTGGTTTGTAAATACAACAAATCAACGTTATTTAGGACACGTGAAAACAACACAATCTAAAAATACTTACTTGATATTTATTTGCCGAGTTAAATGGAATTTCGGTTACTTTGGGATAATTATTTCTTGTCGATATTGGATCGTCGCAATTTAATATAAAATTGAAAATTGCTTTTTCTGATGCGTCACCATGTAGATGTCCGTCTGTGTCTATAATAGCATTGCTGCATAATGCACCGCAAATCTTTATGCTTTGGAAAGCTAACGGTAAGTGATATAATTATTATTTTGATATATTTAAAAGCGTGCAAAATAGGATGTTTAAAGTTTCATTTACTGCATGAAACGAAATGATATTTTAAACATACTGTAACATAATTTAAACAAAAAATATTAAAATGTACCTTACACATACAGCAAAACTTTTTAGCGTTACTTGATAAAACATTCTATAATAGTTATTAAACCTAAAAGGCCTGAACTCATACATATTAGTTGCAACTTACCTGTGTTGTTTTTTAATTTAGCTGAAACAAGTAAACACATTAAAGTAGCCTTAAGATGCTTTACCAAAATTTCAATAATCGTTTTTAAACCTATATCTGTGGCTTCGTAAATCTCATGCTCTATCCAAAGATGTCGTACGCGCATTTTGTTTTCAGTAAGAGTCCCAGTTTTATCGGAACATATTGTTGTACAAGCGCCTAGTGCTTCCATCGCTTCCAAATTTTTGACAAGACAGTTTTTGGTTATCATACGTTTAGCTGTTAGGGTAAGTGACGCTGTTACTGTTGGTTGTAGACCTAAACAAATAATAAAATATCATTGTATTTAGATCGACCGTCTCCGAATCTCATAAATTAATAACAATCAAAGGATCGTAGGTTCCTATCCTTTTCCTCCTCATGATATTTTTCTAATCAATTTATAATTTTTCTGAAACATGTTGAACTTCGTCTGGAAATCTTGATATTAAATGTATGGCAAGGAATATCAAAATTCCGTTCACGCCACGAATCACCGTCATAGATGATGAGTTTAATCGCGATTCGGTTTTGGTCTGTGGATTTCCGAATATCCAAAGCCGAAATAGGTCGATAGTGCAGCTTGCTTAGATGTTATATAGCTGAGGTGCTTCACCTAATATAGAGTTAACGCCATCAATCCTCGTCTATCATAAAAAATCAATAGTATTTTTGTCAATACGGGAACAGAACAGAACAGTACGTAAAAAAAAGGTTCAGTTAAACAGACATTCTATGTCTGCTTCATTGTTTCTTAATAGGGGCATAGATATTACCTTCCGGTATATTAGCCACCACAATTCCAATAACAAAGATTGTGCTCTGCATAAAAGGGTAACCCAGGGCCAACGAGGCACCGGCTATGAAAATACCGAGGCCTATCGCCCACGCTGACATGAGTCTCATCAATGTTCTAATTTCTCTTGATAAAGGAGACGGTGCGGGCCGTAGTCTGGCAGCAAGACCGGCGATGCGCCCTAGAGCAGTTAGATCTCCACAGCATATGACCACTCCTAGATTCATAGTTTGATTTTATTTTTAAGACCAATAATGACTTCCCTTCATGAGGTCCGGAAGTCGTAGATTAGGAACGGATAGTTGTGGGAATTATTAAAGAACTTATGATGTCTATGTAAATGTTGATATAGTCTTACCAACAGCCCATCCTTCTACACAAAGCGCTGAGAAAAAAGCAACATTTTGCGATTCGAGTATATTCGCTGTACCCTCTGTGTTGCTGCGTGAAACTGCGACACATTCGCCGGTCAATGATGAATTATCCACCTGAATATAATAATATTCTATTTTAATTACTTACTTACTTTAAAAGAAATAAATTTGTTTCTGTTACAAGACTTATTGAAAAAATGCCTAGGTAAGCGGAAAAGTCAGATAGAGTGTCGTCAAGTGAATAGGCTCGTAACGTAACGACGTTACGAGCCTATTCACTCTCCCTTAAGTTATTACTCTATTAGGACAACGGACACAGAAATGACCACAGAGAATGACGTTTCATACTTATTTATATTTATTTTTTATATGAATACCTAAATGTTTGGCGTAAGTTTTATATGCAGTATAAACACAAACTTTGAATCCTTTACTGTCTATTATGCGCATATCAGCCGGTATCACATCTCCTGCCCTAACGTGGACTATGTCTCCTCTGACTAAGTCACAAACCGGAGTCTCTGTTCTCAAAATTCCATCGCGGACACAAGTAGCAGTCATAGGTATCATACTATTGAAGGTCTTCATGATCTACACAAATAGCTTGATATAAGAAGAATATGTATTGGTCTTAACCATTTTGTCCACCACTAGCCGTAGTTTCGTAATCATTTTACTTGCCTTAGAGCTTTTGTAATTCTGGAAGAAGCTGAAAAGTCCACAAATAACGTCGACAGCAATAAGTACACAACCCAAATACAAATTGTCCGTACTTGGTTGCGGTTTGGTGAACAATTCGATAAGATACGCCGTCAAACACAACATTGCACCGAGCCATATTAAAATTGAAAACCCTGAAATATGAGAATGTCGTTTCCTACCATTACTTATATAGAGGATGGATAAATGTATGTTAGTTACTCCTAAGCGCTAAAGGGCTTGACTGATTTCCGTATACTTGGGTCTCAACGTAGGACGAAAATTGTAACTGTTGTTTGAATTTATATTTCTGGTTTTAAGCAATTAAGAGGTTGATTTAACACTAGCTGTGCCCGCGACTTCATCCGCGTGGAATAGTGACTTTGGGTAAAATTTTTAATTATCTAGGCTGTTATTAATTTATGTAAGGGCGTATTAAAGGCAGCAAATCTATGTTGTAAGTGCTACTTTGCCGCAATACTCCGACTCTCACATCGCATCACTCCTACTCTGTCTCCCACATTCCTATTCCCAAAAAACCAAAGAAGAAAGTTTCATTGTTCTAGCTTCAAAAACCCCGAATTTCCATACATTTCATCCCCTTTATCAACCCATTTTTGACATTAAAAAGTAGCATATGTCCTTTTTCAGGCTCTAAACTATCTGTGTACCAAATTTCATTTAAATCAGTTCAGTACTTTTGGCGTTAAAGCCGGACAGACAGAAAGACAGAGTTACTTTCGCATTTATAATATTATAGTATAGATAGATTCTCTACTCTCTTGAATATCTAGGATAATTGAGGACATATAATTCTTATAAAATAGAAATACCTAGCTGTGTCTGTGACTTGGGTTTCCTACATAATGCTTACCTTAATTTCGTCTCTTTTATAATTTCATATAATTTTTTTACCTGTGCATAACGATTTTAATAATAATCTTGCCCAACCATACTGAGTAGCCGGTGTTAATGTATTATTCCCATAATATTGCAGTAAATCTGTAGCCTTGTTTGTCGACAATCCTTTATCAGGGTCAGTTCCCAGTAAACTATATAGATCCTCTAAAAATATCGCGTTATAAGGAAAATTGCTTCAAAATATGAAGATACATAGGGAGATCTTTACTTAGTGGTATTAGGTGCGTATCCGTTTGAATTTCCTTCTTCAAGATGTTTAACCGAGTGCTACTAAGGTCTCTGGAACGGAGCCCTCTTGGATTGTTAGGTCGAAATAAATCAGATATTGATGAAAGACTAGACGTACGTGAATTCATATTTTATAATTACACCATAGCCAACTAGATTTATGATATTCAGTGACCTGTTAAATAGTTACACATAATATTTGCTAGAGAATGTTCGTCTGGTAAAAGAGATAAGTTTGATCGGTATGGTCACAGAATTGACGTACACAAATGAGGAACTTATTAACAACTGCTTAGTTAAAAAAAAAAAGGCAATGTTTGAAGCACCATCTTTATTAACATATCATATATTGTAGTCAAACACAACTTAATAACATTGTATATATTATGTAAAATAGATTTCCATTTTATTAAAAAAGTTAATTAGTTTATAATTTGCTTTGCGCTAAGCGTTTTACTTCTGTCATCTCAATTTCATTTGTTTCTATAAGACTTTCTAAAAACGGCCGCCGTATTAATTTCTTCGTAATCAATAACGAGTCTTCGGGTAAAGACAATAAGTTGTTAATATTTTCCCAAGCTTTACTTTCAAGTTCTTCATGTTTGTAGACATTACTGACAAGCCCACACTTCAGAGCTTCTTGGGCCCCCATTTTGTGATTCAAAATCAACATCTGTCTCGCCTGCAATAAATAAAAACAATTATTATTAGCTGTGGGCTATTGGTTCAAACATGTCTCAAATCAAATCTCACAAGTTTTGGGTACTATTACTATGTTAGAGTGTTACATAGTTTTTTTTTTGAAAATGCAACATTTTACTTTGCAGGAAAAAAAAGCAACCTTGCCAATAGAATTCATGTGTATGTGCATTTAACCATTTAGGTAAGTTGTTTGGTCCACATTAACAATTAATATTGATTAATTGTGATCAAAATAAAAATAAAGCCTTATTGCCCGAAAACCACAATGTCCAGTACAGTGTCAAGAAATATTCAACTGCTTACCAATCTATCACCCATAACTCGAGGGAATGTCACTGATGAACATGCTTCAGCCACCAGTCCCAATTTGGTAAATGGTGTGTAAAAATAAGCCTGAAACAGCAAAGGATTTATTGAAATTTTAAGAAGCTAATTTTATTTTGATGTAAAAAATGTATAAAAGTGTTAAGTAACATCAATTAGAATATAAAAAAATATTTTATTAAAATTATTATTTTTTATTCTAATTATTTTTATTTATTAGATAAAAATTATGAAATGGACGATATAAGTAATGCTTTATTGAAGTCTAACAAGTGTTTAATTCATTTCATTAGTTGTTTACCTGTCAGACTCTGCCCTGTCTTTTCATTAATATTCTATAACATCAATAACACATTGAACAACAAAAACTTGCTTTTTGTGTTCAAACACATAAGAGGTTAATATTATTACTGTAGGAATTAACACTATCTTATTATCTGATCTATATTGAATGCATTGTCTTTCCTTAGATTAAGATGCCTCTATGGAGGCATTATAAGTGTTATTTACATTATGATGCAAAATTAAAAAAAACTTTCTTTTTACTTACTTTTTCTGATGCATAAACAAAATCACACAATGGCAAAGTCGTTGTTGCTATTCCAACAGCCGGTCCATTTACAATAGCAATTAATATTTTTGGGAATACTATTATAGCTTTAATGAAGTCTCTTACAGCATTCAGGACTAGTTCTCTATCCACTTCCAAATTATTCCCGCCGAGCTCATTGCCGCTACTGTAAAAATCTCCAGAGCCCGTTAAGACGACCATAGAAATTTCTTTATCCGTAGCAGCACTCTCCAATTCCTTTACAGCTTTAATATACATTTCGTAATCAATAGCGTTCTTCTTTTTAGGCTTATTGAATTTAATAACCTTAATGTTATTTTTCTTATTTACAATCAGTGTATCCATAATTACACAAATTATAATATACGCGGGGATAAACGAATAACAACCACTTAGTAATAAATAACACAACCAAGTGCAAGCCGTGCGTCACTAACAACTTATAAGTCTAATGAATAAATCAGCTTTGATAAGGCGAACGGATTACAGTACTAAATTCTGAAACCGATTATGTGTTTTTCGCTTAATTGTTTTTACAATTTGAAACACTATACAACAAGAGGTGTTCAAACTTCAAAGTCCTTAAACCAAAACTTGATAAGATGATTTATTTTTGTTTTTCTCGTACCGGCGGCGTACCGTTTATTGAAACGGTATACTAAATGTATACCGGGTATTATTATAAAGATGACATCAAATTTATAATGCGAAAATTAGCATTTCATGCGAAAATTTATTGTCATAAATACTAATAAATGAAAAGATTACATTAAAAACAATGAGCAATACCGAATTACCGAGATGCATACAATGAATGAGCTAAAAAAACTTATTTTAAATTGTCACTGTCAAGTTTTATTTCACAATGGTAGAATGACACTTGACAGAGCTTGTCGATTGAGTTTGACGTTTGAAGGTCAACTCAAGTGTATCTTAAAATGCTAGTATGAGTACTTGAGATCCCATTTCTTTTACATATTAATTTAAGACTCCTATATCCTTGAATATAATATTATTTAGTCCATAAATAAAATTATTTATTACACAAAATCAGTAGGTACCAACTTAAATTGCTAACATATTATTCAATACTTAGATAATTAAAAAAAAAATTGATAAAATATTCCTTGACATTAGTAAGAACTATTAAAGAGGGAGCAGTAAATTATTGTATTAAAAGTGTCTATAACGTATACGTAATAATTAATAAAATGAGGGGCATTATAAATTCGCTTCAAATTCTAAAGCTGTGTCATAATTTTCATTATTCCACTTGTGTTACTAGAAGGTTGTACTGTAAGGATAAAGTTAAAAACGAGAACCCATTTAAAACTACAAGAATGTTCAAATCGGCAGTATTTAACCTAGAAGAAGCATCCAAAGAACAATTCCAGGAATTTCTTAATTCATTTGATACAGTCTTGTCAGATTGTGATGGTAAGTACATATTTTATTTGAAACAATTAAAATAATAATTATTTTTTAAATAAAAACTAAATTAATGTATTGATGTCTATTTTTTCTAAAAAAAATTCATATGTAACATGTTATATTAAAGATAATGAAATTAATTTACAATTTTTTTTGTAGGTGTATTATGGATAAATAATAATGCAATTCCTGGCTCAGCAGATGTAATGAATTACTTTCGGAAACTGGGGAAGCGAGTTTTCTATGTTACAAATAATTCAACAAAGATAAGAGCTGACTTTGCAGTTAAGGCTCAAGAATTAGGATTTATTGCTGAACCGGTAAATTTGTCAAGAATGTTATAAGATATGCCATATAGGTATAAATCTGCTAAAAAATAAAAAAATAAATGTTTTTTAGGAGGAAATTCTATCCACTGCATATTTAGTGGCTCACTACCTCAAAGGAATAGGTTTCAAAAAGAAAGTCTACCTTATTGGATCAAATGGTATTGGGGATGAACTAAAAGCTGTCGGAATCAGGCACACAGGAGTTGGGGTAAGTGACACAATGCCCTATATAGAATGCTGGATATATTTGTTGGTCCAGGCTTAATAAAGTAATAATAGATTGGAAATTTATTTCATGTCAAACCATAGATAAAAAGGAGATCAATCACTTAGTTTTCTGAAATGTGATTCAATGTTCCAGGGCTATTTTCACCTTTTCAAAAGAATCCCATTTTTGTGAGACTAGTTTAAAAAACTTATCATACTTTTAACAGCCCGACAATGTGAAGCCAGATTTCAAATCAATGACTCAAGCCGATTTAGACCCTGAAGTTGGTGCTGTAGTGGTGGGTTTCGATGAACATGTGAGCTATCCTAAATTTATGAAAGCTGCATCTTACCTTGCAAATGATGAATGTCTCTTTGTGGCCACGAATACAGACGAGAGGTTCCCTAAATCCACTTCAATTATTGTGCCGGGAACTGGAACTCTAGTAAGAGCCGTTGAAACATGTTCGGAAAGAAAGGCTTTGGTATTGGGCAAACCAAATGATTATGTGCGGAAATTCCTTGAATCTTTTGGTTTGGATCCTGCAAGAACTCTTATGATTGGTGATCGGTTAGTACTAGCCATATGTACAGTCTGTAGTTTATTTGAGAAGCATTTAAATAAAGCACAAAGGTAACATCTGGACTTAGGTAAAATCATTAATAAGTTTAACATATAAATTCCGTGTTTTACCTGTAAAAGTTATTACACATTTCTTATATATATTAGTACCATCTTACATTTATTGCTACTTGAACTTTTTTTCAGGTGCAACACAGACATCGAATTTGGAGTGCGATGTGGTTTCCAAACCTTGTTGGTTTTAACAGGGGTCACATCAACTAAGGACTTGGAGAAGATGCGTACTGAAAGAAAGCAACCTTTACCTGACGTAGTATTGCCTAAATTAGGTAATTTATTGAATTTGGTTTCATAAAATTATTGAAATTCTGAGCAGTGTAGGTCAATTGTACAATAATTGTTTTGTGATATTAATTATCGTAATTAAAGAAATAACTCATTGTTAAAGCTTAGAATAACATATTTTTGTCGAATTGCTTTTTGCTGGAACTTGTATTGTATCTGTTTATATTACGCAACTTATCAGTACTATTATGCGATGTTAAAGAAAATTATGTAAATATATTTGTGGTTTTTCTATATTACTTGAGTTTTTATGAACTCAAATTAATCCACTATTGTAGAATATAGTATTAGAATATGGGAGTGCATATTTCGTAAATAATTTCTACGAATGATGGAAATAAAGTCAGGTATATTTTTTTAAGGCAACATATGTGCACTATAATTTTTCTTTATGTGGTTAAAAGTTTCAGAATTGAGAAAGCTGTCCCATAATATTCGATTATTATTACATACATAAATGTTCAATAAGAAAATGCTTAACCTACTCTTCGTTTTTGAAAACACCTAAACGTTTTGTTTTTCTATTAGAAAAAAGTAGCATCTTTTTGCATTGTTGAGATTATCATTTTATTTAAGTTTTACATTGTTTTCTTGTTTTTTAAATAAAGCTGATAAAGTATTACGTCATGCAATTAAAAATAAAGTGAATCCTGACGATTGTGTTATAGCAATGTTGCGTATCCTATGTTATAATAATGGACGTGATCAACAGAAACTGTAATAATATTGCAATTAGAATATTTGCTATGTAGTTATCTGAGATATTTCAAACCTAGATATTGGCAAAAAATGTCTAAGACTGGCGCTACATAGTTTTTTAGCTAAATGAAACTAAACATGATTTAGAGTTTGGAGAGAAAGGGTGCCTACAAAGAAGGGCCAGACCCCAGGGATGATAGCAGGAACCGAAGATGGCGTCAGCGCGCATGCGCTTTAGCTGCGCGCTCAATGGCTTGTCAACAAAACAGTTTCGGCTGAACCGTGAATAGACTTTGCCGTGCGCAACACACATCGGTGGTCGCGGGTGATCTCATCTTTACATTAAAGTAATGTGAGTAAATTTTTTGACCGAATCCAGGGCAACAAATTGTTTCTAAAATTTCATATTCAGGAGTGCGTCTGTTAGAGCATTGTACGTTTTTAAAACCAGAATGAAAATCCGTTTTTGTTATGTTCAAGTATAATTTTCTAATGTTCTATCTTTTGGTCTACATTTTGGCTAGTTTTGACGTTACAAAGAGGCCTTAAAAATATTTGTACTCAACGGAGGTTATTCTTTAATTTATTTTTACTAATAAGAATTTAATCGTAACATATCGTAATAGTATCATCTATAATCCTTTGTTTTCTACGGAAGCATTTTAGCTACTAGTTGTCGTAATAGTAGAGATGAAAATAAACTGACTCTATCGAATGTGTATTTCGACTACACGCCTGCCCTATCTCGTCTTAAGTACTCAAGAGCGGACACGGACTCAGCTTTTCACGCAAACGGGGCTTTAAAAATGTTTAATGAGCATATTATAAAACCATAAACGCAACGGAATTATGAAGTAGTCTGATAAGAATCCAGAATTGATAATATTACCAATAATATATAAGGCTTGCACTTTTTGATAAGATTAGCTACGTCGCAAAGTCATCTTGAAGAATAACATTAGCTCTAGGTATTCTACATTATGTATTGTTGTGGTTATTATAAAATATACCGCGGAATTCAAGGTAAAGCAAACGTTGACTGTTCTGTTAATAGCTGCTTACTAGATGTGTATAAATTAGCGTATGCGCATCATTGCTTATGTTGCGACTAGTCTTGACATCGAAGGTCGTATAAAAATCCTTAGGTAAATTGTTGGCCAAATGCGTGTCTTATCTAGACGAAGGAAATATTGGATGGTTTTATCATTAACTAGATAACTTTGTGTACCTACTTCGTAAGAATTATCGTTATAGAAAAGACTTCACTACAATGGCTAAAAAAATAATACGAAGCAGTAATTACATCTACAAACGAATAGCAATATTCAGTCGGTAGTAGATAAACACTACATTGGGTCATAAGTAACGTCAGATGCAATATGAGGCCGCTAGAGACAGAGTAGCCTAAATGCTACATATATATTTTCATAGTCTAAAAATGTTAATCTACAAGAGCACAGTGATCAATTATTATTATCGTAGTTCTTACACAAATAATAGTACAAATTCATTTTCACCTAAGTTTAATGCGCAATTTTATTTTCCTCCCTATTGAAAATCAAGTTTTTTGTTATTAGGCCACTCTGCCTCTAGCAGCTTCATATTTTAATTGAGTTCTTAGTCTTATAGGTTCCAACAACTGCACTCTTAGTTTCCCAGGTCATCGACATGTTCCCATCGTAATAGTGAAACCTTCTGTTAACGTGCACTAACTTTTTATTATCTTTTCTCTTTCGTTGCTTCCCGCCAATCTATATCCCTCGAATTTTTATCAATAGGTCGATGTGATAACGTGTGATCGTTATAATTAGTTTATGATGCTCTACTAATTTTTTAGGTGCGTTACGTGATGTACTTAGGTGACTATCGAATAAGTTTACGATAAAATAAGCAAACAGCGATTTTGTTTATTAAAAAAATATATAAAAAAAACACTTCTATTATTTGCCTACTATTGGCTATGACTGTTTGATTATGATCCACATGCAATAACACGTAGTTGCTACACATTTAAAAATATTTTTTCAAGTTTTGTAGGTACAGTTTAAGTATGACGTCACCATCTTAGAAGGTAACTTATGCCATACTCGTAACTACTAAGCTAGTGACGTCATTTTCCTATGTACCATAGACATTATAAAGTAAAATATGTTAAATTAGTACTTAATGTTCATGAAATATATATCAATATGCTGATAGTGGAGATAGTTTTTCTCCAAACTTTTGCATCGTAGTCTGAACATGGGTGGAGCTCGACCCATTTTCCGAGACATTCATTGAAATCAGGCCATCATAGATATAGCTATGTGTGGTACAAAGCTTCGTTAGGGTTTTAAATTAAGAAAGGACTATAATCTAATGAGTATTTTAATCATATCTTAACTAAAATATTAAATTGTCCTCTAAACACATTCTATTTCGTTGAGCTAGTCTTCTTAGTTTCCGAGTTTTACTTAGCGAGTTTCCACTCGTATACCTACGTGGTACAAAGCTTTATTAGAAAAGGACTGTTTTAAATAAAAAAAACGCTGAGTACTTATACCATACATTAGTATAAAGATTAAAAAGTTTTGTAAACACGATTTATTTTTATAAGCTAGCGTTCTTAGTTTCCGAGTTTCACGGATTTTTTAAGTGATCCGGGTCACTTAGAAATTATCGTGATTGCTCTCGAGTGTACAAGAGTTTAATTTGTAAATCATTAAACTGAAATAATTGACATTTAAGACGGTTTCGAATCCTTAAAATGGAGAATCTATTGCCATTCCAAATATTATTATTAATAGAAAAAATATTCCGGTAGGAATACCTACTTGGTCAAGGTTGTTATAATAAGTGCGAGGCGCGAGCACCTATTTATTCAAATAAAAGGGATGATGTCACTGTTAGACAATACTAACCTATACAATTTAACGCGAAATCATAAAATGTAGGTTCCTTAGACCAGGTGGTTGTTCGCTCGCTACAATAAACGTATATCCTGAAACGAAGGGTAAATGTGAAAAAACACGTTATTTTTGAATTATAGTTAAAACGTAGTTGAAGACGACAAGGTCAGTGATGTAATTGCCAATTTTGGCGTTTTAAAGACCACGTCACGAAAAGTCATAAGAAATCGAGATGTAATAATGCTAAGCCGCCAAAGGCTTTGAGTTCTGCATAGATTAGTATTTACTTTTTAGTAATGTAGTTAATAAAATATCGTTTGTAGTTTACGCGAGTAGTACACATTCAAATAAAGTACTAACGGTTTAATACGCGATATATTTAATAGCATTCAAAACGTCGGACTGTAGTTAAAAATAATTTGTAATAAGTTTAACCAATGTTCAAATCAATAATATCACAAAAATTGTGTAAAGGAATTTTTTGTAAGTTAGTCTGACTTAGAGATCGAAAATCGAGAAATATTAAAGAAGATTATTTACTACATATATAATCCTGTCTATAGTTAACGCGAGTAGTACACATTTAAATAAAACACTTTAACGGTTTAAAACGCGATATATTAGTCTCCCCGTGACCACGGCTGCTGCAAAGCATCCGAAACGTCGGGCCGAAGTTAAAAATCATTTTCAAATCAGTTTAACTAAACTGTTGTATTCAAATATATATATAATATTGGGTATATTTTCGAATTTGATGTTAATACGAAAAAGTACAAATAATAAAACAATATTGAATTTATTAATGACTATTACAAACTAAGTTTAACAAGTTTATTTAATCCCTGATCTTTTAGAACGCTCGCGGTTTTAAAACGCATAATCATATATGACTAACGTTGATGTAATAATCATATATACTTCTGTATGCATGTAACATACAGTTATGTACCTAGAGTATACAATTATTCCAAGCTATACTTTGTTTATCTATTTACCAGAATTTTCTTCAAAAGTTTTATCGTTAAGCTGAATGTTGAAGGCTTTCAAATTCTGAAACCGTAATCTGTATTCAGGAATGGCAAACAAACAAAGCTCTGCATTTTCTTTGAATATAATTATTTCAGATAATGTTAAGTTAGAAAATTTTGCGAGTTTCTGTTCTTATACGATTTTTTTTATCAGAAAATGTCAGCGGAACAAGCCCAGGAGGCCGCAGTCGAGCAGGTAGCCCAGGGGGTGAAGGACGTTAAGTTGGAGAATGGGGCAGCACCAGGGGCTGCCAATGGAACTACAAAGAGCGATGACAACCCTATTCCTTTCAAGGTATACAATAATATTTTTAAATGGCACATTCAAATAAGTTCGATTGATGACTCATTAGGATATGTACGAGGATAACGGTCTAAAATAATAACTTTTAGACGATTATAAGAATTATTATCGTGTAAGAAAGCTATAATGGTTGCATAATATGCTTACACCTTTATCTGATAACATAAGTACATAAACAAGGTTGGAAAAGTTAATGGTTATAGCGTGCAAATTTATTGCTAACTACGGAAAACTGATGACTTCACAGCTATTTTCACAAATCTACGTTTCCCCTAATATACATAATGCAGTTATACATTTCGTAGTATGTACGTGGGTAGGTACTTGTTTGTGAATAGGACTCCAAAACGTTTTAATTTTATTGATGCCATTTTACGATTAAACTTTATATGCAGATCTATTTGTCCGTATGTAAGTTATTTTTAGCAATGAAGTCATAACAAGGCTATGACCATGTGAAAAAACAATTAAATATTTAATGTTTTCCTATGATCTTATAGGACATCTTCAAAATGTTCTCAAAATTCGGCGATCCGAAATCCGATGGAAAACAAATTACACTCTCACAGAGCGACAAATGGATGAAACAGGCCAAAGTAATAGACGGAAAGAAAATCACAACCACGGACACCGCGATCTACTTTAAAAAGCTAAAATCCGTTAAAGTCGGCATCGACGATTACCAGAAGTTCCTCGAAGATCTCGCGAAAAGCAAGAAAGTTGAGTTAGACGAGATCAAGAAGAAAATGACGACTTGCGGACAACCCGGTGTTTCGACACATGTAAGTGCCTACGCGATTATATTAATTTCAAGTAAATACGAATAATACGTAAATATTAAGGATCTCAGAAAAGTAGTTCTTGTAGCCTACTTTAAGTGGAGAATTCGAACCCCTGTTCTGCATGAAGTATTTATCCTGTGGGCTAAGTATTAGCTGTTACCCGCGACGTCTTCCCCATCCTATCAATCTAGAAAGTTAATATTAAAACATATACTATCGCAGATTTTTTTTATAACATTTTTCAAACATGTTCATTGGTTTCTTGAAACCATTTTTGCGCAACGGATGCTCAAAGATGAATAATTTTCCACATTTTGCGCATTTTCTTAGCCCCTGTCGGTTGCAGCGTGCAGGAGATAATAGTCATTTTTAGGACATATTTTTAGTGAAAAAACGTTAAAAACTAGAAGTAATAGATTTTCTTTTACTTTCTTCCAGTTGCCTAAATCCCCGGCTGCAGCTGCCGCTGTAGACAGATTGACAGACACATCTAAATACACAGGCTCACACAAGCAACGATTCGACGACACCGGCAAAGGCAAAGGGATCGCTGGCCGCAAAGACCTCGTCGACGGTTCGGGATACGTCACAGGATACCAGCACAAGGATACCTACAACAAGAGCCACTAGCTCAATTTTTAACTCTCTATTTCATTATTACCTAAGGTATCATAGCGATGTAAGGAAAACATTTTTGAATCGTATTTGCACTATTGTACTATTAGTATGAGTTCGACTTGGTGGTTTTAAGGCAACGGTCCCTTGTTCAATAATATATACGGTGTCCACATTTACTAAGAACATCGTCAACGGTTAAAACAAATTTAACAAAAAACTAAATAAAGCAAGACGCAAACGTATGGAAGAAATCAGTACAGTACTTTTTTAAGTAAGCAGTCGTGACACGACGCATGGTAACTGAAGTACACCAAAGCCTAAGTAAAGACAAATATCATGGTCTGCTTCTATTATGTAATAGATGTTGTATATTTTTTGTAAATGTTTATTTATTACAATCTATTTTTAGATTTAGTCTTTCCATCAATTATTGATGAGTTATTCCGTTGAGAACTTAATTACCTATGTTCGAGAAATCTTTATTGTAACGAATCTTTATATTCTTAGGTGTCTAGTCCTGATTATTGGAATATTAAATAAGGTAACGTGTTATTATTAATACATACCATTTATAAATTTTTGCATGTTAGTGCATATATGTACGAGTAGGTACTATCAATATGGTTATTTATTTTAATAACTCCCAAACGTATATTCAAACGTGAATTTAATAAATAGTTCCATTAAATGAGAAACCTGACATTAGTTATTGGAGCTTTTTTTTTTAAGGAAGAGGGTAGACAAGCACCGAGTTCATTGATAATAAGCTACCCTCGCTATATAACATCTAAACAAGATGCCCTGTCGACCTAATTTGGTTTTACAAGGTAAACCGAGTATTCGGGGATCGGAACTTAACTGGATCAATGATTACTTAGTTAATTTTTGAAAATGAATAATCTTATTGATACGTATTTAATATTTGATCTTAAATTAAAAATCATATTTTTCTAACATACGTAAGCTATACGAAACAAGGATAAAATCAAAAGTGGTACAAAACAATATTTGTTATAGAACATGAATTATATGTGATTTGGATCATAATTGTATGAACCAATTAGTGTCCTTATTTATTGAACCTTCCAATGTAGTAGCAGTGATAAAATAAAACACTTCCAATTTAAGTTTTTCATTTTATTGTACGCAACGTGTACATCAATATACAATTTATATAGATCTTCGTAAAATACTTAGTTCATTACAGTCATACATTTTAGATACCAATTTCCGCACTTAAAACTAAATAATGATAAAAAGTTCTTAAACCTTTACAAGTACCTAGAGTGTCTTGTAAATTTTATGTATCGTTCAATATATGAGATAGCAATATATTTTGTCAGAGATTTTATCATTGTTAAAGAAACCAGTAGTAAATTAATGTTGGTTATCCATACTGTTAACGACACTATTCGCAAAGATTCAAGGGGCCTTGACACAAATGGTGTGATCTGCAGTTAAATTTCAACCAGTGTAATATTAACTTGACAATCCTTTATTCATATTTTGGCTTTCTAATCACTACGGCGAGAAGAAACATTCGGTAAAGTACTAATTACAATGATCTACTGCGAAAACGTTTGCTTAATCAGTTCACTTTAATATTAGTTATACATGGCCACAAAATACAGTCTTTAACAGAATATTGTAGATAATCACGAGAAAAATACCGAGAATTATAGAATTTACGCAACTAAAAAGAATGCGGTTGAATACAATTATATGTTAGTTATAGAATAGAGAACGCCAAAACTATGATGACTAGGTACGCTAATAAATTTTGTCATCTTCACATTGTCTAGTGCGCGCGCGCTGTTAGCTAACATATTATTGATTCCCTCCCTCACAGTACCCTGTATTCGAAAATAAAATAGACAATAACAAATAACCTTTTTATAAAAAACACGAATAAACAAAGTGTTCCTGTTTAGTATCGAATTCAAGTACATTTGATACACAATTTCTAATAAGAACGTAATTTACACAACATTTTAAACCTATATTAAACGTTAGTTTAGTTATACCATGTTATACTGACCTAACATAAAGTCAGTTATTCTGACGCGAATTAATGTCGATACAGATAAAAGCAAATGACGTATTGTCGCTGCAAAATAAAAAAGACCACTGCCCCCAAAAATAGATGACGTCGATTAAAAAACTAACAGCTTTCAAAGTCCATTTTGGTTATTTCATATCAAAATAACTGGTTTATTCGTTGGTTACTTTAATCAACGTCACCATTTCTTAGTGACAATGAGCTTTATCGTTTAGCACTCATGAAAACTAATGTTACATAGATACATAGTGATTTTCACCAGTGTCCCCTCTGTTCGTGTACATGGTTCACTGCCTAATTATAATCTCAGCATACTAAATAAACTATAACACAGTACATAATTGATAAAACTAAATAATATATTATTTTTTACATCTATATCCTATAATTATGTTCTAAAATACAAGAGTCAAACCTTAAAGTATGTTAAAGTATATCATATTGGCTAATTTAGGATAGTTTATAATATTGTTACACACGTGACTAACCAATGATTTTAAACGTAGAGTGAAAATGAAGTGTGCCCAGCTGATTGTTTGGTGTACATTTTTAGCATAGTTTTCTTTTCACGGGGTGCAAAGTTATTTAGAGTACGGTATATTAATATGTACCGTACTCCCAAGGTATATGTTTTATTCGTATTTTACCAAGATCATAAGTTCTCGAGAATGTCTAAGCGCTGTAATAAAATTTATTGCATTCAAAATTAAATATTCACAACGAAATGTTAGTCAGGTATTTAAAAAGTAGCAGCTGGACACTACAAGTTAAACAATGATCTATAAGGCAAATTTTTTTATAGTTCACTAGCTGCTAATTCTTTATCTTGCTGAAAAAACTTTTTGAAATTCACATCAATATGCCAGGGATTCACTTAGCACTTTCGGAATATTTTCGAAGGGTATTTTAATGAAATCTATACAATATTTCAGTCCCGGATATTTTTTAAATAATTGATTTAACATTGTATAAAATCTAGTTTTTGTTTTTAAATTTATGATAAGACAACGGAATGCTCACCTACCTATCACTATACTACAATTAATGTTATGTGGTAATTACAGCAGCAAAAGTATTTGCAAATTTTACATTCAAATAATAAGCATTTTTATAATTTCTAAAGCAGGTTTTGTAATGCATATAGGCGACCATAAAGACGTCACGCGTTAATATCATGGCCAGGGGAGGTCAACAGATTGTGCCAAAGAGGAAATCACCTGCTGTACCAATGGATTGGATTATGAAAAATCAATTAATTCGAATTGACGTCATTTATTTGTGGCACCTAAAAATTTGGGCAATATCAGTTTCTTTTAATTGAAACTACGCTGCATTATGGAATAAAGATAATCATTATAATATACTAGTCTTATTATCACAAGTCTACCGCCGATAGGTGATCTACATGGGTCCTTCGATGTGGCTTACTTTCATAGCGAAATAATAGATGGCGCGACTGCCTAGAAGGAGGGCCAGGACAAACGCTCCAACGTAAGCGACGTAGACTCCGCCACCGTGGCTCTTAGCCGCCGATAATGTTCCGAAGGTTACGCCCAAAGATATGGCCAACACTATTAAGGCGAGAACAGCGAATTTCATACCCTTTCCAGACATCCTTGCACCTACCGAAGACACCTTTCGGCAATGAGGACATCGTACTGGATCTTTTTTTGACAGTTGATACTGAAATGTAAAAAAAACACGTAAAATTGAAGTAAACATATATTGCCATTTATCAAAAAGTTGAGAATATGCATGAGGCCAGCTGTGGGCCGGGATATATTTGGGCCTACTTACATAGGAGGCCCTATTTCCAGAAGTTAGGTTCCGGCTATAAGATGTACTGTAAAACTCTCAAACTTTACTCACAAAAATAAACTTATTTACACTATGAGACTAAAAGGTAGGGAGGTATAATAGTATGCCTACACTAGCAGAGTTTCAAGTTACATAAGCTAATGGGATAACGTTTTTAATACCTTATGTTAAATGCATCATAATTTTATTATGAAATAATTTTTTATATTTTTAAAGCTATTACATGTAGACTTGGTGGTTTATGAAAAAGCTTATACACATAGATTATCGAATGAATTTTTTGACAAAACCTAAAACTATGTAATGCTTTTTCATGTGTCACATGTCATATATTAAGACTAAAGCTTAAAGCGTACTTTGAATATTTAACTTACCAAAAACGTGTCTTGGCAATGCACACAGATAACCCTGCACATGCCAGGCAAAGTAACCGGGGGAGTTACCGGGGAAGGTGCAAGGTTAATAATCCTCTTGCAATCAGGTCGTGGGCATGCGATGCGCTGCGACGATGACTTGCAGATTAGCAAGCAGTTGCAGGGGCAACGCACATACTTCTTACCCGGTGGTGCATTTCGAATTGGCTGAGGATGGACAACAAATAAATTTAATTACAAGTCACTAAGATTGTGTAATATTTTCATTGGCATAAAAATTAAAGTCTTACTTGATTTTGCAAAACAAAGACTAATGAACTTACTTCCTTATCAGATACATTAAGTATTATTAGTAGGATATTTACAACAAAGAATGAGTGAGATAGCCTAAAAACTATTATCAGCCTCTTTACTTTGAAACCTGACTACAAATAATTTGATTGAAGTTGTCTCATTAACTTGTATTACATACAATTACATTAAAGACTATTTATATGTATGTATCACTATGATCTAAATATGATCCATTCATACATTCTTATCATTCTTATTCACATTTTAAAGATTATTTCCACAAAAATTACATTTTTATTTATTTATTTTTGCAAGTTTGAGGTACTCTTCCATTTTTTTTATTTTGAAATTTTACCACAAAGATTTAATAATTATTAATGTACTAACCTTAAATAACATTAGTTTGCAAAAATGTTTTTGTGTTAACCTTTAGTTGCTTTAATAATGAGAAAGATTTCAAAAGTTGGATAAAAATTACGTTTGCTATAGAAATCAACTGTAATTTTTTTATACAAACTATGGTTGATTTGTGTATAGTTATTGGTTAGTTTATACCTGCGCAAAAGTATCGGCCTACTTTACAATTATGACCAAGAACTTAGACAATGTCAAAGTGTGGTAAACACAATACAGCATTGTATTAAATTACTGGCTAAGATATAACACTTAATTATTGTATAACTAGTTAAAACAGGTAATTGATGTGTATGTAAAATACACATCATAAATTATAATACATAAGCAAATGTTTCAGACACTAAAGTTACACTTACCGTAGCTTCATTACATTCAGAACATTTTACAACATGCTGTTCTCTTTTGCCAGATATATCAATCATAGCTTGACACACCCGGCAAGTGACCATCGGCAAACCTGCTTGCTGATACGGCGGAGGTAGCTCATCAGGTCCAATTGGTGAGATAGTGCTGACATTCTCCTCATCTGGTAATACAAAATATCACAACTTTTGCATCAAACGAATCCGTAACCGGTTACGTTCACAACTGGTTATCCATAAGCAACATGGATTACACAATTGTAACGAATTGCTGTGCGAATTATGTGTTTTAAGAAACAAAATAAAACGAGTTGAATCATCAGCTGTCAAAACAAAATTGCTTACCATCTCTTAGTAAAGGCTGGTTTTCGCTTTGTCCGTCACCCATTATAATATCACTGTGTGTTTTCAGACGTAAACACTAAGAATCTTAAAACAACACAGTCATGAACTTTTACTGTCGTAGAATCCAACTAATTCTAACGCAAATTACTAATCTATTTTTTTTTTATAGAATATGCTTGTGGATTATATTAAACACTCTTTTTATGACGTTTCATTACTAACAGAATGACAGCTCAAATGACATTTAAGGTTTTACAAACATTCTACATATGCTGTGCGGGCTAGTTCTTATAAAATATCGGTTATAATTTTAATCTAAGTTTAATATTATCACGAAAAAAATACTTATATAATTAATGTATTAAAAATATTATTCAACAAAAGTCTGTTTGTATTGTCAAAATATTTTAATCTGTTTATATTAATATTTTTAATCTTTGCGACTTGAGAATCAAAATTGCATCCTTCTACTAGTACTATTGAGTATTGACAATTGACCTAACTTTGTTTTGAAATGTGAAAACCATGTGTTAATATCTAAAAAGCACAGTGCCTAACAAATAATTTTTTAAATTGTATAGTGAAGTAATGCATATTATATGTATACGTAAAAGATATAAGTAATTTGTATTGATACAGAAAGTGAACTTTATTTAAAATGGAGACAAAAGTTCATAAATTTAGATTTTACAATCCTAAACCCATATCGATTCAGTGTGTTTCCTATGAAAAACGTCTTAAACTTCTAGCTGTAGCTAGGTAAGTTTTAATATTGTGTGCAGAATGTTCATACTGTTGTTTGTTATTTAAAGGTTTTTTTTTCTAATTGAATGAAATATTTGTTTTAGAAAAGATGCATCAATTGAGATATGGGATGTCAACTATTCTCCCTATCTAATTCAAGTTATTCCTGGCGCAGAAAATGCTTCAGTAGAAGCGCTGGCTTGGGTTAACAACAGACTACTCTCTACAGGACTTGGAGGGGCTCTAGTTGAATGGGATCTGGAGTACTTATCTATAAAAAATAGTGTTATGCTTACTGGTTTTGCAGCCTGGTGTTTAGATGTTGATAATACAAAAACTTTAGCAGCGGTTGGAACTGAACAAGGCTATGTTAATTTGTATTCTGTTAGTGATGGCAATATTGAGTATAAGAGACTATTTGACAAACAAGAAGGGAGAATATTGTGTTGTAAATTTAACAAAACTGGCAATATCCTTGTAACAGGTATGTTCATTAGTTACTTAGTATAAATGTAGATTTTTAAATGTTATTTACTAATTTTGTCCAATATCTAAAATACTAGTTAGTGCAATATTGACCTTTTTTTGGTTTTAGTTTAAATCATAATTTATTTATTAAAACAAAAAGACCTTGAAGTTATCTTTTTTGATTGTTTCTATAGCACAAATACAAAAGAACTGGCTAGAAATCATCACACTGTAGTATTTCATTATAATTGGAAAGCGACTATTTATATCATAATTTTTAACGACTTACAGGATCCATAGATACAATTAGATTATGGAATGCAAACACAGGACATGCTACATGCCGTATTTCTTGCAATCGCAGAGGTAGAGAAGTGATTGTTTGGGATATTGGAATATTATCTGACAATACAATTGTGTCTGGTGATAGTTTGGGCCGTCTTACCTTCTGGGATGGTAATACAGGCGATCAGGTGTGTATGTTGTAAAAAAAATATTTTAGGTTATTAACTAACGTACCAAGCCTACCCAAGTAAAAGAAACTTACTTACTATTATTATCCATCAAAAGAACTGTATAGTCTCTACATTGGCATAATATGTCTTATATGGTTAGAAATAGTCTTATACCACATAATAAATAACAAATACAACCAATATTTAAAAACTTTATTCCTTGTAACATGGTATGGCATTAGAATCGGCATCCACTGCATAACACATATACATTACACTGGAGTAAAGGGTTGAAGAAATTTGTTGATGTCTTATGAGACATAGTAGCTCACCTGGTTGAGTACGGAATACTATGGATGCGGGTGCAAAATCTGCGGTGTCATTGTATTGTTGCCAGCTAATTTATATTTTTTGTATTTAAACCAATATTGTCCGAATAATAATTTGTAATTTAATTACAGGTTGAAAGTTTCTTAAGTCACAAGGCTGACATATTGTCATTAGTGATATCCGAGGATGAGACATATTTGTACTGCAGTGGGATAGATCCAGTAATAAATATGTTTAAGAAGATTGTCAACGCAGATAATCCATCTGAAACAAGATGGGTGAAAAATATACAAAGAAACATTCATGAACATGATGTGAGGTCAGTGATTTTTAAATGTGGATGTTAAGTCTTCACCCTTACTTTTGCTCTATTTTTTACAAACAGAAATTAAGTTCAGATATATTTTTACTAAGAAAAAATATATGGACATAATTTCTAACTGAAATGAGCGACTCTTTCTTACTTAAATTCTGACCCATACCAGCTTAAGTTGATGTTTAGAATAATTATGTTATTGTTATAAAGTTAATCAAATACTTTTTAATCACTTTTTGTGTTTTTTCTTTTGATGTTTTATGGTAGAAATTAAATTCAAGAAAAGTAAACACTTTCAGGGCTCTTGTAATAAATGATCGAAGATTAATATCACTAGGAGCAGATGGGTATGTTACTCTATCCAGTTACCCACCAAAAGAAGTTATGAGAATACCGCCTATGATACCTATGCCTCGGACGTCTGTATCTGCAGCAAAGAAGTTACTTCTTTTAAGGTAAAAAAGCACTAATATACAAATGACAACTACATCTTAGTAATATATATTATAAGTGTGTTGACTAATCACCCATATTATTATTATTTTCTATCGGGGACACCCTTGGCAGGACGGGTGATCAGTCCATGTTGTCCGCTGACCATTTCACCCATTTAATCACCCATAAGGCATTTGATAGTGTCCCCAATATAAATAATAACTTATTAGCTTATGTTTATTACTTAATAATAACTACAGATAATAAGTTATCATTGAGTTAGTCAAGATGATAGTAGGTTAGTCTATAATTTTTGGTATCACCCTGGAAGGAAGGAGCTCTTATCACCCCTTTAAGTAGCAGTGCTTGTTATGCTGGTTATAATTACAGCCCCACTGGAAACAATGTGTATATATATAGTAAAACTAAATTTAGTTTCCTACTTGTAGATATAATAATCATCTTGAAATTTGGAAGCTTGGTTCTTATGCGACTGATGACAATGGTCAAGTTATAATAAATGCTGGAATTAAACAACGTCCGAACAAACATAATAACAAAGAAATAGAAAAGGATACAGAATTACCGATCATATCCAAAAGCAAGTTTGAGGAAAGAGAAAAGAGTCTAGAAATAACAGAAGAACCAATAAAGATGGCCTCGATTTTGGCAAAATCTAAGAAACAGATTTTGTGTTGTGACATATCTCCAAGTGGCGAATTTATCGTGTATTCTACGGATACTCATGTGCGAATGTTAAAAATGGTTAGTATATAACATTAAATATTATTTTTCATTAACAATTATTATTATTTTTTAAATTAAAGATCTAGGAGAGAAGCAGGTTAAGGACGTGGGTAGGACTTGAACCGGTATCTACAACATTCGTGCTTCTCCAAACAATAGAGCTACCGTTTCGTCGAATTTCTTCTATTCATTGATAAATACACTATTTGCGCAATGGAGTTAATCCCATTAACTGAGTGGATTGAAGTCATAGATCAAGTCCTGCCTGTGTCATCCAGTCTTGTTTCAATCTAAATATATATTTTTATTATACAATACAATCATTAAAAAAAACACTTATGTAAAATGCTTTCAACCATTCAAACGGCGACATATATTATTTAACTAAGGCCTGACGTTTCGGACGCTTTGCAGCAACCGTGGTCAAGGGTACCTTTCGTTTCGTTTGAATACGCAGGGCTTATATTAACATATTTTTCATTTATATAGAGCCGGTCACAGGACTTGACCTAAAAACGTGTTTTTCAAAGTCTTAATGTTTTATGTTTAACAGGATGAGGACCAGGGCAACGTATCGCTTCAAAAGCTGAACGTGAATGAATTGAAGAGCTGTAATCGAGTGTTGTTCTCGGAAGACTCACAAATGATGGTCGCGAGTCGGGCGAGCGATCTGTTCGTACTTCACGTGGACGTCGACGTTGGGGCTACATTGCAACAAAAGATACCTACGCGGAAGTGTAAGTATTAAGACCTCATTTATCCAAATAATCATACCATTAATAAAACGTTACCTTAATTATCAAGATCGACAATGTTCGGTTTTACTATATAGGTTCATGGAAGTATATGTTGAGATTCAAGAAACTGAAACTATTTACGTTTACGTTAAAATTTAAAATTGACAACAGTTAACTTTCTTAACCCATGTCATTATACCATGGTTACATTCTTTGCAGACTTTGCTTAAATTACTTAATTAATTTTCACAACTCGTCAACCCTTTCAACTGTCGGGCCGTAGTTAACTCGTCAAAGAGACCATTTATTACATTACGCGTTTTAAACCATTAAAAGTGTTTTATTTAAAAGGCTAAGTATCTCTATAGTTAAGAAGTTAAGCTAAAGCTTACAAAGTAATCTTAACATAAAATTCTGTCCCTCTCTGATTTGAGTGTGAAATGTTTAAATGATAATTTAAAATTTGGACTTCCGAATGGAACTACTACATGTCGTTTAATCATTTAGCTCGGCGGCTAATCTTTCTAGCGTACTTTTCAAATTTTCAGATTTAAAAGAAGGATCAATCCTGCACATCATACTCTCCACCCAAACTCCAAATGGTATCTACCTGGCTGCGGCCAACACAACGGGCGAAATAGCAGTATGGCTTAAGAAAACCAAGAAGTTTGAATATCTGCTCAATCTACCCAAATATCATTGCGTGCCTTGTGCTATGGTTATACACGATATGATATTATTCATAAGTTACGTTGATCAAGAGGTAAGAAAGAAACAAAAAAAAGTATAAATATTAATTTGCTTTTTACTACAAAAGGTGAAAAAAAAAAGGTTTTATGGTAGCAATGTACGGCCAATAAATAATCAATGGGCCGTGAGTTCGAACCCCACCTTGTCCAATATGTTTCTAATCAATTTATACTTAAATACTGTCTATAGTTTACGCGGTAGTATACATTTAAATAAAACACTAACGGTTTTAAACACGATATATTAGTTAAACTTATTTTTAACTTCGGCCCGACGTTTCGGATGCTTTGCAGCAGCCGTGGTCACGGGGAAACAATTTATACTTTTTTTGAAAGAAGCTGAACTTGGTCTGGATATTAAATAGGAGGTAGAGACATCGTACCTCTGTGGGTTTTCCAATATTCAAGTACGAAATAGGCCAACAGAACATCTTGATTAGCTATGTATGGTTGTATGTCCTGTCCTCCTCTATCATATAAACAATTCTTACACATTTTAAAACTACGTTACGTACGTTACAAGACATGACGGCAGTAGTTAGAAAACTTACTTATATACTATGTTTGAGTGTAAATAAATTACGCATAATAAAACCATTTTATTTACAGTTCATGCAGTATGATCTTGCTGAGCAGAAGCTGATGGGATCTGGGTCCAAGTCGATTCCGTGTTGGGGTCAACGCAAGATGGCCGCTCATAGCATTGTCCCACACCCCACGAGAGAAGCGTTATTGTTTACTGACGAAACCGCTCTTTGGGTGCTCGATAAACATAAGGTAATAACAAAAAAAAATCGATATCAAAAAAGTTCTATGGAATTTTGGAAGTGAAAATGTTTGGTGTTATGATTTTTTTTTATTATTTAGTTATAGTTACTAGTATTTTTGGTAGAATAGACAAAGTAAAGTACACTAGGGCAACAAATATATATAGTATTATAGCATATCTATAATACTATTATCACGGGTCACGAACCACCGTCCACAGATTAAGGGTTTGTTTAAATGCGCTATGGCCTATGCAATAACTTCTTTTTCTCTTTACTCTTTAGTTTATCAGAAGAAACTTTGTACAACTCTTAAATCTCCACTCCTGCCCTGGAACCTTATATTGTTTCTTTTGTTATAGATTCCAGAGTATTATGAACCGGAAGTGAAGAGAAGACCCGATATAGAATCGTCGAGCCGAGTCAATATCATGCCCGTAAAGGTAATGTTTTGTTTAATAATTCGATTTAAGGAGTTTTTCTGTGACACTTACATTTATCTCTAGATCCTAAGACAGTTATAAACCCCACATTGAAAGAAATGTAACAAATACTCTTTGTTTCTTCCAGTATTTGGCTGGCTTCCACTGGTTGACAAATAGTGAGGCAGTGTTAATCGAAATTTTGCCTGAAAAGATTGTGATGCAATTGCCGCCGATTATGCATAAAAAGAAACACAATATGGTGATATCGAAATAAATGTACGCATTTATGGTCTTCGTTTTATTATTTTCTCTTGTTTAATATACTAGCTTTGCCAGCAACTTCGCCCGCGTAGAATGGGCATTAAAATTTATTTTTGCAAACCTCCTCTACATCTTTATAAATTTCGCGGATAACGACGTGGGTAACAGCTACCCACGTCGTTGTCCGCGTGCCGTGATTCTTGCAGAGTTAATCTTTAAAGATAGACATATACTGTCGCGGACATTTTTTCCGAGAAATCATTCTTTCATACATATTTTTTTAGTATCATGAACCGTTTTCATAGCGTATGCATCGGAAACTCACAAAGATGAATAATTTTTCAATTCCAACCAGTAGTTCCTGAGATAAGCGTTCAAACAAATAAACTCTTCACCTTCTTTACCGTATACCAATATCAATATTAGATTAATAGAAGACAGAGAGAAACAAATTCACGAGATTTTTTTAATGGCATCCTGATATGGCGATACGTGAAGTTGTTGTGGTCTTGCCCACATTTCATCCGTGACCTCACAGCGGGCTGGTGGTAACTTGTAAGATATGGGGTCTCCGTCCACGCTCCTAAAGATCATTGTAAATTATTTTTTTTTTTTACATGATGGTGCTATATAACCTAAATGTCGATTGATACGGTAGCGCAATTGGTTATAACAACAGCACTGAACGCTGTGGACAATCGTTTGGTCATTATCAAGTTTAAAATTTGTTTTAAAAATCAATTTTGAAAAGATCTTATTCTACATGTTTATTTTATTTATAATGAAGTAAGTATGGCAAATTAGTTACCCCAAAAAAATCATTGTCTGCTTATAAGGGTCGTATATTTGTCCCCGCGCTAGTGGGGGTCGAATGGGATAATTTCGGACAGTATTTACTAATCTTCCGAATTTCTCCAAAGTGCATTTTGATCGGTGTCCAATCATTCCTGGAAATATATATGCATATGAAATAAAACACGACAGGCTCTTGGGTGTTACGGCTAGATCGGGTTCGATGAACGGGTCGTGTGTTGAATCCCCACCGGGTCCAATTTTTTCTGTAACACGTTGGACTCTGTCTGGGAATTTGGATATCGCATGGATGGTAGGAATATCGAAATTTCTTCCGGGTCATAAACTACCAATGATAAAGTTTAATCACGTTTCGGTGTCAGTCTGCGGATTTCCGAATATCCAAAGCGGAAATAGGTCGACAGCGCATTTTCTTAAGATGCTATTTATTGTTAAAGGGGGGGTATTTCACCTACTATCTAGTGATCACCATGCTTGCCTCCTTTATTATAACAAAATATATCCAAGTTCAGAGTTTGAATGAATTCTATTCACGTAAAAGAAAAAACTCACCTGAAGTAGTTCGTGGTAAAGGTTTTGGTGAAGGTTCAACTTCCACTGGGTCTTTAGGTTGATCTGGTTTACAACTGAGAGAGCGTAGTCCCGCTCGGTATTCTTCAAGACTAAAACCTGGAATATGTTGAATTGAGTTTTCTTCTGGAACATTGGCAAACGAATTTATGTATCCGTTTCTCTAATAAATTTATATTTATATCGCCTTTCTTTGCCTTGTCATAATAAGACAAGTTAGGATTCCCCGGAATTTGAAACAAAGATCTTTCGCGCTTAGCGCGGGATTGTACGTTTATCGACGGCGCGATGGAGAATGCTGGTTCGATTTCAAGCAACAAATAAATAGTTTTGCTCGAGAGGAAACACAAACGTCTGAAGAAATGGAGTGGCGTACGCAAAATTTGTTTGACCCATGGCTTACAGGGGGGAATAGAATTTTTAATAGAGGTAAAAATTTAAAATTGTTTTAAAGCAATGTATCTACAAGAAATAAGTATTTTAAGTGGGGCCTGGGGCTAACACATTTCTGTGTCCACTTCCCTAATCGTACAGGAAAGTTGTTGATCAGTCTTCTCTGTCCTGCCCGACCGAAACAATCTGTTGTTTCCCAAGGATTCAAACCCTCGCGCTTAACTCAATGCTAAAAAACACATTGAATCATTTGGCTACAGCGGCGGTCAGAAGAAAAGGTATAAGATCTAATTAAATATCTGAATTACCGATTTTTTGTGCCTCCTCCTCTTGGACATCTCTTACGTTTTTATAAAAACCCCACCGTTGTTGCCACAGACGCGCTGCAGATTTTTCCTTTTTTGTCACAGATGCACTATAAATATTACAACACATAAATTAGGAAACAAACTTGTGTTGGGATAACAGGCTAGCTACCTTTTCAACTATGTTAATGTATGTAATTAAATATAAATTAATAAAATAAATAATAATTTTTTTTAATTACTTCTTGATGTTTGTTTGATTAAGTTAAAATTGTATTTTTTTTTTGTTTCTAAAAAAACGTATTACCATTCAGTCTATTTTAAAAATCGAACAACATATCTACAACATATAAATTTCAGATAGATCAGAATGAATCAACTTCAAGAATTAGTCAACTTTTTTTATAAGATACCAATATACATTTTCGTTAAAAAACTTAGATAGAAGATAGAAATTATTATTTTATTGTCTGCTAATGGTAAATATAGAGTTCTTTGAAAAGTGCTAGTGCTAAAGCAAAAGCCGATTATGCCCATTTTACTAAGAAACATACAGAATCCATTCGGCTTTGACTGGATCGATGGACGATTCTTTGCGTACACCGACAACACCTCCTGTTGGTTGGTTTGTATTATCCATTCTTGCAACGTTTTAAGGAATTAAAAATAATATTGTAGACTTGTATATTGTTTGTATTAGGAACTGAAATCGATCAAACTTCTTGAGCTTAGCTAAGAATACAGTACTAAGGTAACGAGTAACCAAGCAACAATAGCTCATCCATCAAATATATTTCATACTCACTCAATTATATATATTTTTTGGTTATCTTGAGCTGTTCGCAGCGCACGCAACAAATATGTTTTATTTCGTTTGTTCCATATTTCCCACTGTTTCCTTGCTACTATTGGGCGCAGCGTGATCTTTTATAGAATAAAGTTTGCAACGATAAATGCTCTAACCAACCTCTAAATATACCATATAACAATCAAACCAATATCTAACTAATATATCGCGTTTTAAACCGTTAAAGTGTTTTATTTAAATGCTCTAACCGTCTCAGAAATAATCGTCAACGCGAACTAGAAGTTCTTGAGATTAACGCGTTCAAAACAAAACCACTCTTTATTTTTATAATACTATCTAGATATCAACTGTTCACCTTTCTAGATATCGGAATTCTTAATTTCTTAAATTACCATATACATATCTAAAAATGTAACATAAGTTAATATCGAATTTAAACAATTTGCATAAAGGCCTGAAAATTCGCCCGCAGTCGTCTGAATTTACGAGATAGATACGAAATATAAGCTCGTCTTTCTCAAGGGCATCATAAAGTTACGATAACTTTGCTTTTTAAGTTTTTCAAGCAATCACATTTTTGTGTGTAAAAAATGTTGTTATAACGCAAATAGAATTATTAAGTAAATATTGGGTTGTTCGGAAAGTAATTTAGTGTTTTAGAACATTGGTAACTCCTACATCGAGCTTCGATAATAATCCCAGGCTTTTTAAAACGGCGTATTCTTACAGGGTGCTTCATCGACCACAAAATTGCCGGCTAGAAATTTAGAGAACCGTGTCAGGACTGGGACGTAGAACACACCTGCTCCATACACATTTGTCAATTACTTTCTGGCTTAAAAAAGCATATTTATCCCTCTTGCAGTAAAATAAACATTTAGAAAATGCTGCTTATCGCTCTCTATTTAAAGAGGGTACTAGCCAAAAGCTACTTCGTAGAACTAGTTGGAACTTTCCACTCACGAGTCTTGCTATATGAGATATCAAAGCATCAATGATAATATATAATTTTGCAGCTTAAGTGTACTGAGTGCAAAAAAATACAATTAATTCTTCTGTCTGGATAAAACAAATTTTCCTTCCGATCATCGTATTAAGTAAAAAAAAAAAGCATATGGAACATTAAAAGATAATAATGTTATACGAATAATAGCATCAATTTAGAGTAAAACAAAGTCGCGTGCGAAAGTTAGTATAAAGCTCAATATAAAAGTAGGTCGTAAGGATGCTTAAGATGTATTAAAATCTAAATAGGTACGCAGTCAGACCCATAAAACTTGTCTGGAACACCTACATCGAAGTACAGCTATAGCGTTGTGACCTAATTCAACGGAGGAGGCACGAGCAAGGGGTCGCTTCGCCCTCGGCCTCAGCCTGCCCATGAAGTGCCGACACCTTTCCGCCGCGCCGCCCCCGCGTCTAGACTTTCATAATGTACAAATGTACTAGGCATAGTCGTGTAGCCTTAGCCACGATTGACTTTATATTTCGCCTAGCTACTACATTAACTTTTTTATGTCAGAGTAGGATAGACATGCGTGTGGTTCACTACCCTAGCAATACAACATCTATTTTTGGTTTGGATATTTGGAAATCCGATGGACTGAAACCAAAATGCGATTAAACTTCTCGGCTTATTCCAGATTTCGAAACAAAGTCCAACGTGTTTTAAAAAATAATAAATTGATTAGAAACGTTGGGGATCAAACCTACGATATATTATTTATTGACCATAGATGCTACCAGTAACCGACGAACCCGTCATATTATTATGTTATTTAAAATACACCATTATATCAGCCTAAGTTAATCTTGTATGATTTCTGAAAACCAATTTAATTAGTTGCTGATTTTCATTTGTTTCAAACTATTCATCACTTACTGCTGGATTCTCTCATAAGAGATTTAGTAGGCGAGCTTTTACTTCCACCGTCCCTAATTTACTAATAATAACGGATTTCACGACTTTATGAGAATCAAGGATACATGGTACATAACTTCCAAACCACTTAATTCCGATCTCTCGATTGATACGAAATTATCTTAATTAAAATATCAATTGACGATTTTACCCGATTCGAACACAAATATTTGTAATAAAAAAAAGGAAATAAATAAACACTTTTTCTTTGATAGGCCTAACGTTTCAAATGGTTTGCAGTAATAATGACCAGGGAAGACGGATGAAATGTCGGGCCGCAGAAAATAAAACATATGTTATTCTATATATTTCGCGATGTACACCGTTAATAGCGTTTTATTTAATTATGTACTACTCGCGTTGACTACATACTATATTTCTCTTGTTCATTTATGGAATCAGTAGCGATTTATATACGATAGGCCATCGGGATCTGTTTGTGTGGAAGCTACTAATTATGTGTATCATACCACCCAGTGAAGGCACGATGAAAGGGCAGAGAGTACGCTCGTCTAGACAGACCATATTACAATTTACATGTGCTGTAGGGCCTATAATTTTAGGGTCACGCACCACCCTACACTTAGCTTTAAGGTAAGACCTCGACCATTGGGGTGGCGAACTAATAACTACGGAAAAATATTAAATAACATACTTTTAACGGTCTAAAACGCGAAACATTAGATAAAGATATTTGTTTATTTTTGACTCAGTCAGACATTTTAAATTAATTGTTATTCACATTAAAGATTAATTTGCCTATTGTATATTAAGACGATGTAAAAACAAATATTTTATATAAACACGTACTATATTTGTAGTTATATTATATTATTGTCTATATAAATATATTATATAGAGGAATCCGTTCTAACAAAGAAGATGTGCATGGTAAGTGCGTAAGGATTGTAACAAAAACTTGAAAATAAAAGGAGTGGCGGCGAGTTTCTTGCCAATTGTTCTCGCTCGTTCTACGCGTATCTACTTCGAAACGGGCAGTAACTGTAAATTAAGAGTTTTAAATTTTTCACTCTTTTGACGTTCATAAGTGTACCAAGCACTGAATGAATAAATGATTTGATTTGATATAAAGTCCAAATATATTACTAGCGACCCGCCCCGGCTGCGCTCGGGATCAATGCTACTAAATACACTACAGAAAAACTGGGAACGTTGTATATGAAACAATTCCCTATCTATTTAATCACTCTATCTAAAAAACCGTACATAGGGACATAAAAAGCGACTTTAGATACATAATTATTTATAGTTTTTATTTCATATCTCTGAATTAACTATAAAAATAATATCTTCCTGATCATTCTGATGCTGGAAGTGGAACTTTATATTTCCGTGCTGTGACGCTAATTAATGGAACTATATTATTCACGATACTTTCATTGTTGTTTGCAGCTCGCCTTGCGGGCATTCCTAGGATCCAAAGAAGGTTCTCCCTGCATTTAAAATATGAGCGTAAATAATATTCATGTAACTACAATTATCTATTAGGTACTAGCTGAGCCAGCGACTTCGTCCGCGTAATATAGTTATCTTGGGCATCCAAATTTGTCTTTGCAAACTTCCTCTATACTTTTATAAATTTAAGCTGTTGTCCACGATATCGGTCTCGTCCCGTCTTTCGCGAGGCGTCGTTCGGGTCCCGTCGGTCTTGTAAGTTAATCTCAATAGATAGACGTATAGTGATGCGGACATTTTTTTAGACAGTTTAAACAGGAGTCATATATTCATACATATCTTTTTAGGTGTCTTAAACTTTTCGCAGCGTACGCATCGGAAACCCACAGAAATTTCGCCCGTTTTTTTCCACATTTCACGCTGTTTCGTCGCTTCTATTATTCATAGCGTAATGTTTTATAGCCTTCCTCGATAAATGCTCTAACCAACACAAAAATATTTTTTTTTTCAATTCAAACCAGTAGTTTCTGAGATTAGCGCGTTCAAACAAACAAACAAACTCTTCAGCTTTATATGTTAGTACAGATAGCTTTATTATTTACTATACTAAATACACTACAGAAAAACTGTGAACGTTATGTAAAAACCTTCGTCTTGTATAACTCTATTACTAAAAAAAACGCATCAAATTCCGCAAATTATTTTTAAAATTTTAAGCGCACATAGGACCAGAAAAAGCGACTTTGCTTTATACTACGTAGTGATAACCCATACTACAGTAACTACATATAAAAGAGGAAAAATCTTACGTACTAACTTATAAATAAAGGCGGCCTTATCGCTAGCAGTGATCTCCAGGTAACCTGAAGTACGGGAGTAAAGAAATAGAAAAAGACTTACTAATTGGGTTGGTGTAAAATATACATAACAAGGAAAGAAAATAACTTAAGTGTTGGAAAGGTAATATTACTATACGTATAGAATTTAGATATATGAATAAAGATTATAAGCGAATACAGCGAGCAAAAAATATATTACAAGTGAGAAGAGTCTGAAGTGGAAATTAACTTATACATTAAAATGAGAAAGAAATAACAAAAGATAGAGAAGTTTTAACAAAAAAGCAATTATCAAACAACAAATCAAGAAGAAGTACCTATATAAAATTAACATACAATTTATTAATAATTAATCTAACTTCTAGATAACTTATTTTTTTTTTCAGAGTATGACGGAGTCTAGCAATCACTAAGTGGGCCTTTAAAAAGTAGAATTTTGTTAACTTTCTTTGTTACACACTGTTCAAACTATAATATACAATAACAAACGTATCATCCTATTAGACAAGGTACACATTTAAATACTGTCTGTAGTTCACACGAGTAGTGCACATTTAAATGAAACACTTTAACGGTTTAAAACACGATATATATTATTCTCCACGCGACCACTGCTGCTGCAAAGCATCTGAAACGTCGGGCTGTAGTTAAAATAA